CCCAAACAGTCACACTCCAAACTCCACAAGGATCAAGACCAAAGAGCTGCCAAAGGACACCCGAAACGAGATCGTAGACCTGCACCAGGCTGGGAAGACTGAATCTACAATAGGCAAGCAGTTTGGTGTGACGAAATGAACTGTGCGAGCAATTATTAGAAAATGCAGTTCATCTTCGGTTCATCTTCCAGAAGCGGTTCATTAAAAACATAGGCATTCAGCAATACGCACTGTGTGAAAGGAGACTAGTGCTGAATCTGGACTGTCTTTATAGGCCTGGACTAACCCCCCTTGCCTGGGAGCCGCCTCAGTCCAGAAATGTGTGACCTCGGTCTACAGCCTGAATCTACCGCCCGTTCCTCCATGGGAACAAATTTCTTCCTCAATGTTGGCCTCCATTCTCCCGTTTCTCACTTTTCTCCCACTGGGTTTTTAAGAGTTGTTCCTCTGATGCAAGAGGTTCTAAGGACAGTGATGATCCAGGACACTCCCCATTCAACTACATTTATTTGCATTGGTCATGTGCCCCTTACGAACCAATGTCTCTGTGTTTTTTTACCGTTGCATTTCTTATGTTTAAACTGTTTGATTCTCTGACCATGAGTTCGCGAATCGACAGCTTCGTAAAGTCTTCTGAGATAACTACTGCTGTGATTTAAGGCGATGCAAGAATACATTGGATTGAAGTTTGACGTTGCTTGTCTGATCAAACGGCAGTAATAAACTCCGCTTCTCTGCTTCTGATCCTGTATTTCCACATTTGATCCTGCATGCCAGAAAAATGCAGTGCAGTTGTGTTCTCTGTGTACCCCAGTCTTTTCCATGACAGGCCTCTGCAGCCACATCCGCCCTGAACACTCCTCCTCCTGCTTCATGACTTCATTTTCCACTGTCTGTGTGGCTCTGCTCTCTGCTCTCACACAACACTCGAGCCAAACCAGTTGTTTCCACAGACGTGAGTGTCCGATATTTGACTACTGCATTAAGAGGCAGAGTTGAAGGTGGAATGTGTAATCGTGACAGCAGAAGAAGTTTAGACGAGTGCGGTGGTCAGCAGTGGAAAGTACTTACACACTCATTACAAATACTATTGTCACATTATGTCATTGAATGCATCAGGAATGAATAGAGAAATATTCCAGTCGTGTTGGATGTACTTTTATAACTATGACAGTGACAGAGTATAGTCTCAGTCATTAGGCCGTATTGGATATTACACCAGGGCTTGTGAAAAATGTGAAAATCGTGAAATCGAATGAAGGATATTGTGAGGGTTCCAGCAGCACATGAATTATACTTGTAATATAGCACAGTACAAGACTTTTATATACGTATTGGGGGGTAACAAATTAAAAATCGTTTTGAAACGTGAATACGGAGCGGAAAGATCAACAAATATAAAAGTCTGTCTTCGGTGCCTTTTATGAAAATCGATTTAAAATCAAAATCATCCAAAGCAGGAAATAAAATCGAGATTTTACTTTTTTGCCATATCGCCCAAATCGTAACTATAGTATTTTAGTTAAATACATAAGTAGTATATTAGTCTCATGTCTGATTTAATTTTACATATTGTTATTGTTAATGTGTCCTTGGTCTAAAGTATTCTCCATAAGATCTTATTACATTTCTGTGTTGATATATTGTTTGACGTTTAAAATCTGTTTGTTGGGCTGTGTCATGAAAAAACCATCTGTGAAAAAAAGCATACACATAAAAACACACGCGTGCGCACACACAAAAGCAATTTGAATCTCTTCTGACAGGGAAGCAAGCACAGGGGCGATGTGCTCTCTCTCTTTCATCAGAGCTGGAGGATTTTTCACCCAAACTCACCCAAACACGGGGAGAACAAGCAAACTCCACACAGGCCCAGGTCATTATGGGATCCACCAGTCTCTTGCTGTGACGCACTCACTGTGACACCAGTATACACACTGGAAAATATTGTACCTTTTCTTATCTACAGCACCAGTCCTGGATCTACAGCCTCAGTCCTGGATCTACAGCCTTAGTCCTGGATCTACAGCCTTAGTCCTGGATCCACAGTCTTAGTCCTGGATCTACAGTCTCAGTTCTGGATCTACAGCCTCAGTCTTGGATCTACAGTCTGAGTCCTCGTTCTAGGCAAGACAAGGCAAGTATATTTATATAGCACAGTTCATACTCAAGGCGATTCAAAGTGCTGAACAAAACAAAACAACAAAACAGTATAACAGGTGTACGATGGTACTGTATATAGAGAGAGAGATGACATGTTACTCTCTGCTGGCTCCAGTCTTCAGTCTAAACTCGTATTGCTCAGAAAGTGAATACTTGTTGTGAAGGTGCAGACTGACGATGACGAAGAGCCCCAGAGTGTTAATTAAAGCTCCTCTTTGAAGCTCTTTGAACTGAGCTGTCATCTGAGACCACCACGTCCACACACTGCAAAAAGTCAAGGAAAATAAAACAAAGAATTGCTCAAATTTGACATAATGTATCTTCATTTGAGCACATTCTGACTGCCTTCAAACCAGATTGGCCGATGGGACAAAGCAAAATGATTGTTATTATGTCTTATTTTAAAAAGATACAAGAAATGTCTCAGTTGGAATGAAAAATTAAAGCAACAGTTATAAGACTAAATGGCTTTGTTCCATTGGAGAATCTTGTTTTTACACAGTTAGAATGTGCTTAGATCAGAAAAAAAAAACACTCACTTTAAGCAATTATTACCTTATATCATATCATGTATGAAGTGTCTTGCCCATGGACACAATCACAGTTTAGCACTTTACAGCTGGAGTTGCTCCACTGTGGCATCTGGTGTTCCCAGAGGTCTCCCATCACAGTACTAACCAGGCACCGCCATACTTAGTTCCAGAGGCCCTATGGGATCTGGCCTTCACGTGCAGATGTGGCCACAAACTGCTAATAATTGTAATGTAATAGTAGTTATTTAAGATTTTTGTATGCATGCTTTATATCTAGTTTTAAGTCTTTCTGTAACTTACAATAACAATAATTCTGATTCTGAAAAAGTGTCCTCATGTGTTCTGCTGCTTTAGAGAAAATATAATGGAAAATTAATGAGAACATGCATCATCTCTCTACTGTGATCACTACACAGTGCTGAAACAGCAGCAAATCAGCTCTGAGCCATGGAAATGTTGTTTGTGCCAAAATTCTTCCTCAAACTCAGCGGTGACAGTGTAGGGGAAGAAATGACTACATTCTACTTGAATCACAAACAGACTTTAGAGCATAAAGAACATGGAAAACATGGACTACAGCCCAAGTCCTGGACCTACAGCCTCAGTCCTGGACCTACAGCCTCAGTCCTGGACCTACAGCCTCAGTCCTGGACCAACAGCCTCAGTCCTGGACCTACAGCCTCAGTCCTGGACCTACAGCCTCAGTCCTGGACCTATAGCCTCAGTCCTGGACCTACAGCCTCAGTCCTGGACCTATAGCCTCAGTCCTGGACCTACAGCCTCAGTCCTGGACCTACAGTACAGTAAAGTTATCTTTATTGTCCAACCGGGGGAAATTGGTTTTGCAGCAAACAATCATCAAAAAACAGGTAGAGACAGTACAACCACAACATTGAAGAAAACAAGAACAAGAGAGACAAAGCTAATTTTCAGTGTAAATATGCTAAAGTGCAAAAACAAACAGTCTCAGTCCTGGATCTACAGCCTCAAAATGTAATCTATCATTATATTACTGGACCTCTTCGTCCAGTTTGTTTATCGACTTTCTTGAAATGTTGTGCTAAATAGTTGAATAGATGAGATTCAGATTCATCGTATTTACCATTGCAGGAAACTATACATTGGAAAATGCTCGAGACAAGTATATTCATAAAACAAGGTGTGCAGGAATAAAAAAGCTAAAAAAGTACAGAAACAGTTATTTCTGTGAATTTGACAACAACAAAAACAGCTTTAAAACAAGATCTTTACATGACTTTTCCTTTGACACAGTGACCAGAGGCCCCCCACATTTATCCAGTTCTGAGCCCCTAGTGTCCCATTAGATTCATCCAACAGACTGATGTTCCAGTTTTGACCAGTTTGACATCTGCCAACAGAACAGAACATGCTGTTCTTTCTTTGGACAAAATAGTTGAGACATGAAGAGACCAAAGGGAAGAACCCTCTCAGACCAAAGACACAGGTGAAAGTAACTATTATTTCTCCCATTATATTTCCACTCCTTACATTTTAAACATAGTAACTTTGCAGATGGTGACATAACATAAAGACATTCAGCTTCAGTTCTATTGTATATTTATATAGTTGGGGAAAGTAACTTCAAAGTAATGCAGTAGTGTAATGCTTTACAATTCAGAGACAGTAATATTTTAATAACACATTACTTTCAAATAAGTATCACATCATTTATTATGTTTTTTTAAAGAAACTTCCCCAACACTACACCGCTTTAACTCCTGTCCAATACTGGCCCCAGTGCGCGTCTTCCCCACTACTTCTCCTCCCTCTCTCCCGCCTCCAGCGCTCGGACACTGGGCCCTGGACAGACAGACAGTCGGCCCCTGCTCTCAGCCCCTCTGCTCAATGAGGCCTCAGTGACGGAGCCGTGAAACCCGAGAAGAGGAGGTATTCTTAGGCAAAAAAAAAAAAAAATGCACCGCGCTGAGACTTGAGACTTCCAGATGTTCCTCCGAAGGCACCGAGACAGGATTACACACTCTTTACGCACACCATTCCAACTCGTTCACTCTGAGGATCGGTCCCGGACGCTTCTAACCATAAGCGACAGGATTAACGCAGATATTTGCATGTTCTGTAAATTGGTTCCGACGTGTGTTGTCGGAAAATCTTGACGAGGAGGAGTTTGAAAAGTTTGTGTCTTGTGCGCGCGGTGGATGAAGTCTCTGCGATGCCTACATGCGCTGGACTCGGGTAAAATAGCCAGTTTTTGGTGATTAATAAAGTAGCATTTGTGAGCGTTGTCCTTTTCGTGTGAGGATTTGAGCAGGACCAAGATTTACAATGGCGCGCTGCCACTTGCTCCTCTGCGTCGGGATGTTGTCTTTGCCGGTTTGGTGCTTGGCTTTTTACCGCGGACCGCTGCACCCGGAGATGTCTAACGGAACCTTCCATCATTACTTTGTCCCGGACGGAGACTACGAGGACAACGACGATCCAGAGAAGTGCCAGATGTTGTTCAAGATGACGGACGAGCGTAAGTGTGGGCTGCAGGAGGACCAGGACGCGGTGATCCGGGACGACTTCACCATCATCAAGCGGCAGATAGAGGACTCCGCACGGGTCATCGAAGGCATCGGGAAAAGCATCTCCTACGACCTGGACGGAGAGGACAGCTACGGCAAGTGCAGGGAGCGGGGGTTTGAGCCTATAGAGCAGGGGTGTCAAACTCAGGCCCATGGGCCAAAAAGTGGCCCCTTTTCAACTATCATTATTACAGCCACTTGCAGCCTTGGTGGTGATGGGAGACGCATGTTTTACTTTTAAAGCTTGTTGTCTCTGGACAATCATACAACAACCATATCATTTAAGTATATGTGTATTTTAACTAAAATATCATTAGAAGTTATAATCATTGAATTATTTTTATTTATTTATTTTTGTTTAACTATCAGTCTTCAAATAAATCTCTTCTTGATATTTTGCCCAGTTCTGGTTGAATCTAAACCTACTAGAAAATAAAACTAATGTCAAATACAACTCATGTTAGTATATCTTAACACAAAATATGAAAAAAGAAAACACTTCTGGCCCTAACCACTGTTTATTTGTAAATTTGGCCCCAGACCAAGTGAGTTTGACATCTGTTCCTCACAAAAAAACAGACTTGGAGTGGTTTTAGATCCATCCAATAAAGGTCAATTAATGATACAGTAGATTTTCAGCACTAATGGTTATGAGCCTGTAACCCACAGGGGAAAGTGTCAGTTATAGTTACTGTAGATGTTGAATAAGGCCGAGTTTAGTTTAGTTTAGTTCAGGACAATGTGAAGTTACATTAAAATGTTGGCTTCTCCAGATTTAGCACCAGCTACCCTAGTCCTTAACAATAGAAACATTAAACATACATACTAAAATACAAGTTACCATCGCAGTTGCAGTCACAATGTACAAAATACATTATAATTAACATTTAGCAGCAAATGGAGAATTTGGTAAACTGCAGTACAGTTATTGTATTGAGCAGCAAAGTGAGACACAACTTTTAAACAAATAAAGAACAATGGCTTATGGGAAATTTAAAAACATGTTTTCATCAGTTTTATTGAAAGAAAATAATGTATAAGATTTTTAACATTGAATCACTTTTAAAACTGGTGAATATAACTTAAACACAATAATGAAAAGTTAAAGGTGCGTTCACAGTAAAGTGTAATTTATAGTATCTGGTTAACTAAAGGTTATAATTCAAAAACTCAACATTCCATTCCATTTTCTTCCTCTTCATCCGTTGCCGGGTCGCGGGGGCAGCAGTCTAAGCAGAGACGCCCAGACTTCCCTATCCACACGCACTTCCTACAGCTCATCCAGGGGGACCCCAAGGCATTCCCAGGCCAGCTGAGAGACATAGTCCCTCCAGCGTGTCCTGGGTCTTCCCCAGAGCCTCCTCCCGGTGGGACGTGCTCAAAACACCTCCACAGGGAGGCGTCCAGGAGGCCTCAGGAACAGATGCCCGAGCCACCTCAACTGTTTCCTCTCAAAGTGAAGAAGCAGCGGCTCTACTCCGGGCTCCTCCCGTGTGACTGAGCTCCTCACCCTATCTCTAAGGGAGCGCCCAGCCACTCTGCGGAGGAAGCTTATTTTGACCGCTTGTATCTGTGATCTCGTTTCGGTCATTACCCAAAGCTCATGACCATAGGTGAGGGAGGGAACGAAGATTGACCGGTAAATTGAGAGCTTTGCCTTTCGACTCAGCTCCATCTTTACCACAACGGTCCAATACATAATTCAAAAACTAAGAAAAAAAAATTAAAATCAAAGCGATATCTTGGATAAGATCTAAAGAAAAGATGAACACTTAAAATAAAATGTCATCATTGACAAAGCTGCAGATTAACTCCCACAGATTAACATTAACACAACATAAATAAATAATTTGATTTAAAAATAAATCATTTTTGAAAAATAATCTGCTCCTCAGAGTCCCAGCAGGAGGCCGGCCCCTGTGCTCCTCAGACTCCCAGTAGGAGGCCGGTCCCTGTGCTCCTCAGAGTCCCAGCACGAGGCCGGTCCATAGATATTAATAAATGGCATTGAATGTTGAACGTCCTGGATCATCACTGTCGTCGGAGCCTTCTGCCTTATTACTGTTTTAGCTGTGGATCTAGGATGATGGATGTTGTCACACTCATTTAAGTTTATATTGTTACATTTAATTGACTTTATTAATTGAATCCAACATGACAGATATGTGAAAAAGGTTTCTTAAAGGGGCCGTATGCAAATGCACTATTAGTGGTCAATAAAACCATTAGAATCACACTATAGTTGCCAGAATGGTTCTTTCTGTGACATATGCACTATGACTTATTTTGTATCTGCATTCAATCAAACACATGCATTGTGAGAGTGCAATATTGTCCAAATAGAAATAATAAGTAATAGTATAGGTACATCTGGAACTCTGAGGGTCCCGGTACTCTTCAGAGTCAGGGCGGCAGCCTTTTAATTCTTTGAATCCCATGTGTGATTTAAATCTTTATGAAGCAGGTTGTTTCGTCCTATTTGGGAAAAGCACTCTACAAATAAAGTTGGATTGTTTGATATTTGATGCTTTGAGCTTTGAGCTGATCCTCCACAACATCCTCTTCACCTTTAGGTAAGTTCCTGCGGCGGGAGACCTCTCAGATCTCCGAGGCCTTCAGCAGCTCCGAGAAGTCTCTGGTGGAGCTGGAGGGAAAGTTCCGTCAGAGTCAGGAGGGCGAGCTGAAGGAGGAGCAGCGCCTGGGGGAGGACTTCCTACAGATGGTGGTCCACACGCGGGACGTCCTGAAGGAAACCGTGGACATGTCTCTGGGACTGAGAGACAAACACGAGCTGCTGTCCCTCATCATCCGCAGCCACGGCACCAGGCTCAGCCGCCTCAAGAACGACTACATCAAGTTCTGAACAGATCAGAGGCGACAGGACGGACGGAGAGGGGATAAATTATTACACACTGCAAAAAATAATGAAATATGAGCTGATCGAGGGGTTATAATCTTAATTTGAGTACATATTAAAACAAGATTTGCCAATGGGACAAAGACATTTAGTCTTATTTCAAGACATGTTGCTTTATTTTCTCATTCCAACGAAGACATTTCTTGTATCTTTTTAAAACAATATACTTTTGTTTTGTCCCATTGGCAAATCTAGCGTTAAGGCAGTCAGAATGTGTAAAGATATTTAGCAACATTTTAGTAATTTTTGAATTACTTTTCATCACTTTTTGCAGTGTGGGGATACCGATAATATTGGCAGTTGCACAGTATTAAAGCCGGAGTACCTAACATCTTTTGCTTCTATCACTAGTTTCCACATGTCTCTGTCATGTCTGTAAAAGAGGAACGGGTTCAGGCTCCAGTCCACTCGGTACAGTAGCATCAGTGTGTGTGTGTGTGTGTGTGTGTATGTGTGTGTGTGTGTATGTGTGTGTGTTCAGTATTGAAATCAATATTGAATCTATTTTAAAACTATTGACATTCATCAGAAAATCTCTTTTTGCACACCCCTGATCTAATCTACCGCTGCCCCTTCTGTCTTCACTCTGAGTCTGTACCAGAGTGTATGTGCATTCTCGTCATCTCTTACTCCATTTTTCACATGTATCCATACATTTTCCTTCCAAAACACACATGTTCAGAGTATGTTTCCCGACTGAGCACAAATAATGCATAATATATGTTCTTTAGTATTTGCTACAGCTTCATAATCAAAACAGTGATGTACAGTGTGTTCTATTGAGTTAAAAGTAAATACTGTGAGCATCAATAAGTATTCAGAAAACTATTGTATTGTGTTTCTATGAATATATTTGTTGACTTTTGAACCAAGACTGCGGGCAATCTGATGTGTCGTTTTTAAATAAATAAATATGTTTTACTGTTACATATGAGGTTGAAGTTTGTTTTTTTCTCTTTCTCTCAATGGGATTCTCAATTGGTTTTTATGACTTGAACTTTTTTGAACATTAAAATGTACACATTTTGTCAAGACAAAGAAAATTATAAATTATTTTTTTATGTAAAGTTTAGTTTATTTTAATAAACATTACATGCAGTGAAATTTATTCCTCCAGCAGATGTGCAGAACAGAACTGGGAACACACTATAACAGAATAATAACACAGAAACCTGCTGTAGTATCTTACCTCCCAGACAACAGTGAAACAACCATGGCAGGTGCGACAGTGTTCGATAGAGGGCTGTAAATACAAATATAAGATTATTGGGGCATTTGATCTGGCAGGAGCAGATGCAAACTAAGAAGAAGATTGTCCTTTAATCGTCCCACAATGTGGGAATGTCAGTTTGATGAATACACATAAAGGCATGCAGCGTACAATTACTTCTACATGCCTTATAAGCAAAGTGGGGTAAAGTGTCTTGTCAAAGGACACAACGGCAGCAGGAGTTGGTGGGAGTCTGTGAGCTCAGACCCACGACCTTCAGGCTCAAAGGCCAATACTCTGACAACTGTGCCACTGTTGCCCCTAGCATGTTGCCATGATGGTTGTGAAGGAAAGCTGGAATTTCCGTTGCAAATTAATAAGGCATCTGATTGGTCAAATCCTTATAACTCATATCTGGATTTGCAAAGACAATATTTAGATAGATTGATAGAAAGATACTTGATTGATCCCCGCATGAGAAATGCAGTAGCAATTACAGCGATAACGACGCTAAAACCCATTGTCCCATTAAAAAATATGTAGAAAATCCTTGATCTACATATAAATCTATGAGTATGACACAGACCATGAGCTAGCGTGTTAGCATTTATATACAGTCTATGATTCCTGTGCTTGTTAGACCTAGAGGTGAAAATTAAAGCGAGGCTCTCAGCGTTTGTCTTTGGCTCCAGAACCAAATATATACAAATATTTCTCTGAGGCGCTTCAAGTGACATGCAGTTAACACAGTTTACAAGAGGGAATTGCTTCAGAATGACAAGGTTGCCCTCTGTGCCTGCGGTGCATGCTTTTAATGTCTGTGTGGATTACAGACGCAGCTGGTGCTTCTTCATTACGACACTTTGAAGAGAGACGCCTCAGTGTTTACAAGGCGGGAGCAATGAAAACGTAGCACTGATGATAGTTTACAGGCCTCGTGTAAACACACAAAGTCCATGTGTGACGTCAAATGCAGAACGCTGAATTATGCAAAGTCAAAGTGCAACGTAATGCTGCTTTACGGACACCGACTTTGGACTAATTATAGAGCGCTGCACATGACGCTGCAGACACCTTTAGCCCACTTTCACATGAGGTCATCACACAGACAGAAGCAAACAGAACAAATATGCAACTGCAGAGGGACTTTGGAGTCAGGGATGCTCCAAATCACATCTGTGTGAAAGACTTACCACAGAGACCGCATTCTGCTTTGACATAAAATCATTCATAATAATGCATCAGTTTTATACAGCGCTTTTCTGAACTCTCAAAGACCCCTCATATGACGTTATTCTTTCACTCCAGTTCAAACACGATGGTGACAAACTACTACATTGGCCACAGCTGCCCTGGGGCAAATTGTCAGTTTGTGACTTCTTGTTAAAAATATTCAGATTGTATTCAATGTATTGTGTGTAATTATAAATTAGAATATTGTCCTAATATTTGTATTTATTTATTACAATTTTTAATGCATGCCTTTGTATCTATTTTTACTTTTTTAATCTCATTTGCTCCATATATTCAATTAAAGGAATTTTTACATCGCCCTAAATCAGAACAGTGGTTATCTGGCAGGACTTTACGAAGCTGTTGATTCGCCAACACAGATGACCAATGTGTGTAAATGTGGAGTTTCTTGGATCATTACTGTCCTTTGACCCTACTGCGCCTGCAAAGAAACAAAAGCAAATTCCTTATTTAGGGATTCTGATCCTTATTCTGACCACACATTCATAACTCTTTGGGCTTTTTAACTTTATTTACTTTTGGTTTTGTTTACCCTTGTCACACATCCTACAGAATGAGTTGACCAGCTTCTGAAGCAGAATCAGAATCAGTGTGACTTTTACCTGTAAGTCTGTGCACACATTTTCTCTTTAAATGACTCCTATCTGACTTCTTTGAATAAATGATAAAATCCTGATTCCTGCATGCAGCTTTCCTAACTTACACAGACTGGATCCAATAAACACAGGTCTACACGTCTATGTGCATATCTATATGCATATGTGTCCATCACTACTAGTGATGATCCAGGACAGTCGACATTCAACATAATCTGCCCCGACCAATGGCTCTCTATGTGTTGGAATAATGAGGAACTTCAGGACCATGTGACAGATTTAACATGGTCTGTATGTTGTAATTATGGTAAATTATGTCAAGTTTAGAGTTGCATAATTACAATTCATTACTTTCTTCTTGAAATGACACCAAGTATTCAAAAGTGTAAAAAGTTAGTACCATTTTAAAGTATAGAGTTATTGTTCACTTACATGTATCTCCTCATTCTTACTGTTATGTAACTGGTGATGCAACACTGATATTTCCCGACTGTGGGACGAACAAAGCATCTCTCCGCCGTTGCCTTCATTCAACACTGTCCGCGTTGCGTTTCGCTCGCGTCGCGTCGCGTGGCGTCGCGCTGCGTTCCGTTGCGCTCGCGCCACCTCTCACCCAGTTCCACAGACGCTGCTCCTGCTGCGGCTCACACACAGACCAGGACGCTTCCCTGTTTACAGCCGAGGTACGTGTCACCGTCTTTATATCCACATTCAACTCATAAATATTCGATAAGTCGGTAAAAACAGATACATTGGATAAGAACCTAAAGCTAACCTAAACTTGGGGAAGCTAGCTGACAGAAGTAAACATGTGAGAGCTAGCTATAGCATCTGTCACAACAAACATGCCGTCATCTACTATACATGTGTTTTAATCATTCATCTGTGTCTGCCGGATGTTGTTAATGTGTCAATGATATGAATGTCTCTGTACTTTAACATATTTGGAGAAAAAAAATGATAAAATCTGATTTATAATTAAATCCATATGCATTTACTACAGTTCTCTTCTTGGTAGTAAACAGGACAAAACTGTGTCAAGCTGTTTTAGAATGATTTTGAGCTGTAGTGCTAATAATAATAATAATATTAATAAATGCAGCGAAGAGAACTAATGTATTGGTATATATGGTATAGGGATATCAAGTATAGGGTTGTATCAAGTGATCAAACGAAAATGAGTTTCAATAATCATCAACTATTTGAATAATAACATTGAATTGTATTTTTTTAATAATAACAGAAAAAATATGTATATGTAATAGGAGGTCAACAAGAAAAACGAGAAAAATAAATCTATATATATATATAAAATACCTCTAAAACTGCTCATATTTAATGGGTTAGGGTTAGGGTTTACTAATTTGAGCAGTTTTAGAAGTATTTTAGAGTGTATTTGTACTTGTGTATTTGTGGAACCATTAAAAACCTCAAAAAGCTCAATCTAAAGCTTTAATGGATGTTTAGATGGACTATAGTAAAGACCATGTAGATTTTTTTCAGAAATATTGTGGTTTCATAATTGTTTCAATCTGGAAAGACGTATTGGGATGTATTAGAAGGTTTATTGCGTTACCTTTGCATAAAGTGTATCAGTCCTGCTTGATTAGACTCCTAAGACGCATGATTAACATAAACATATCCTTTATTAGTCCTACAGTGGGGACATTTCAGTGTTGCATCATCAGTTACAGACTAGCAGGTGGTTTTGTAGTGTGGTTTTGTAGTGTTTAGCCTGATGAGAGTGGGACCAGTTTTTCCAGCGCTTTTTATTTCACTTGTTTACGCATTTTTTGACCATAACGCCCAGCCCTACGCCCTGGGGTCTGGAGCTGATGACACTGTTGAGGAGGTGATACTGATGATAAAGAACATAACAAATGCAGTTTGAGATGTTTATATTGCGACATTTTGAGTTAGTGTCCAAAATTGAATATGTAGAACTTGAAGTATGTATTTTATGTCAAATCTGGTTATCTGCTAAACTCTATTGGAATGTTTATAAAGGTCCAATCCTTCAGACAGTTGGCAGAAGTTGACGAACCTGTTATCACATGATACATTTCAAAGGCCTGAGTCCTAACATTTATGTGAAGGGTCATTACGTAGCACTTATGTAAGTCTAATGCGATCACTAAAATCCCTGTTCTGCTCAAACAACATTTACTTTTCACACACTTAGTTTTTCTTTAATATACTTTAAGAAGAACTATTCGTGACCATTCCTGCAGGTGAAAGCCAGATCCTGTCAGACCTCTGAAGCTAAGCAAGGCAGGGACTGGTTATTACTGTTATGGGAGAGCTGTGGTAACCAGTGGGGCAGCTGCGGCTATAAAGTGCCAAACTGTGGTTGTGTCCTTAGGCAAGACCGCCTGAAACCATTGCCACCCCCGCCCCAAAAATGTATTAATAAAGGGGAAGAAAATAAATGAATGAATGAATGAATTGCAAGTGACACTTGGCGAGGGGTGATTGGGAAGGATGGCCCACTTGATCTTAGCTCAGTTGTTGGTCTTCTGTGCTAGTTGTAACAGTTTGTCAAACACAAACAACATGCTTGAGCACAAGGATGTACACCAGTGCACGTGGCACCAGGACACCTAGGATTATGGGAGTTCGCCTAACCTGTCCACATGTGATTTGTGGATTTGGCGAAGGCGTTCAACGGTATACCCCGGTTCTCTGGGGGGCTCTCCGGGAGTACAGAGTCTGTATGACTGTAGCCAGAGCTGCGTTTGCATTTGCGGCAGTAAGTCAGACCTGTTCCCGGTGCATGTTGGCCTTTCAAAAACTGGTTTTCAAGTTCTGGAATGCGCTTGAATTTTGAACAGTGAGCTTGAAAATGCTTGATTTTCTCAAATTTTACATTGTTTCATTATAACATTAGGACCCTAGGCTACAAAAAATAGCATTCTGGGAAGCTGGGATGAGAATCGGCTCCGAGGACATGGTGCTTGATCAGATACAGGTGCCTTGCCCTCTCCAAGTGGGTGGAGAGGTGAAGGAAGGATGGGGCGTAAGATTGACAGGTGGATTGGTACAGCGTGCGCAGTGATGCGGCCGTTGTATTGGACGGAAGAGGGAGCTGAGCAGAAAGGCAAAAGGCAAAATTCTCAATTTAGCGGTCAGTCTTTGTCCAATCCCTCACCTATGGTCATGAGCTTTGGGTAATGACTGAAAGAACGAGATCGCTGATACAAGCTGTTGAAATGAGCTTCCTCCGCAGAGTGGCTGGGGGTGCTCCCTTAGAGACAGGGAGAGGAGCTCAGTCACACGGGAGGAGCTCGGAGTAGAGCCGCTGGTTCTCCATGTTGATAATGACTGGTTGTAGTTTTCTTGGCGAACCAGAGAACACTATTGTTTATTATTTAGCAGTTATCAACAACGATCAAAGTTTTCGATTCGCCAACACAGATCAGATAATCAAACGGTTCAAACACAGGAAATGCAATGATAACAAACGCATAGAGCCATTGGTCCATAAGGAGCAAATGGTCAGTCCATAAATGTTGTTAAATGTCCATAAAGCCTCCTGCACAAGTCCAGTCTCTCTCATGTTTTCACTTTCCCACAGCGCCATAAAGTTGCACTCTGCTTTTCCACTCAAATGGATCTGAAGTTGTTGCTTATTTGTCGGTATTTGTCTGATGGTGTTTGTGCATGTATTGCTCCAGTGCAAATATGTTCCAATAGCAGCTCGGTCAAATGTTCTGAATCTGAGTATTTAGCAGAGAATCAGGAACTGTACTGCTGTATATGTTTGCTGACATGAATATACAGTGGGGCAAAAAAGTATTTAGTCAGCCACCGATTGTGCAAGTTCTCCCACTTAAAATAATGACAGAGGTCTGTAATTTTCATCATAGGTACACTTCAACTGTGAGAGACAGAATGTGAAAAAAAATCCAGGAATTCACATTGTAGGATTTTTAAAGAATTTATTTGTAAATTATGGTGGAAAATAAGTATTTGGTCACTTCAAACAAGGAAGATCTCTGGCTCTCACAGACCTGTAACTTCTTCTTTAAGAAGCTCTTCTGTCCTCCACCGGTTACCTGTATTAATGTTACCTGTTTGAACTCGTTCTCTGTATAAAAGACACCTGTCCACAGCCTCAAACAGTCAGACTCCAAACTCCACTATGGCCAAGACCAAAGAGCTGTCAAAGGACACCAGGAAAAGAATTGTAGACCTGTACCAGACTGGGAAGAGTGAATCTACAATAGGCAAGCAGCTTGGTGTGAACAAATCAACTGTGGGAGCAATTATCAGAAAATGGAAGACATACAAGACCACTGATCCACACAAGATCTCATCCCGTGGGGTCAAAATGATCATGAGAACGTTGATCAAAAATCCCAGAACCACACAGGGGGACCTGGTGAATGACCTGCAGAGAGCTGGGACCAAAGTAACACAGGTTACCATCAGTAACACACTACAACGACAGGGAATCAAATCCTGCAGTGCCAGACGTGTCCCCCTGCTGAAGCCAGTGCATGTCCAGGCCCGTCTGAAGTTTGCCAGAGAGCACATGGATGATACAGCAGAGGACTGGGAGAATGTCATGTGGTCAGATGAAACCAAAGTAGAACTGTTTGGTATAAATAAACTCAACTCGTCATGTTGAGTTTATACGAGTTGAGTTTATACCAAAAAGTTCTACTTTGGTGGAAGCATGATGTTGCCACCCCCAAGCATGGGGGTGGAAAACCTCCTTCCATTGACTTGAATTTGTGTTTTTGACCAAATACTTATTTTCCACCATAATTTACAAATAAATTCTTTAAAAATCCTGTGTGAAAATGTGAATTCCTGGATTATTTTTTTCACATTCTGTCTCTCACAGTTGAAGTGTACCTATGATGAAAATTACAGACCTCTGTCTTTATTTTAAGTGGAAGAACTTGCACAATCGGTGGCTGACTAAATACTTTTTTGCCCCACTGTATACTAGGGGTGTGACAATATATCGATTTTTCGATATATTGCGATACTTTCTCCCGCGATTCGATTATCGATATGCATTTGTCAAGTATCGATATCGATTTAAAAAAATAAATAAAAATGTATTATTTTTTTTACAATTTTTTTTTTTAATTGGTATCAATACTTAATATACGGCTACATTACGCATCTCTGTTCTATTTATCATGAAATAAAGAGTAATTTTTCTTTTATTTATGCCATAAATTGGCATATTGTATATTTCTGACCAATATATCAATAATCGTCATATCGTGATAAAATCGTTATCGTGATATTGTTATCGTGATATTATTGTTATTGTGAGCTTTGTATCGTGTATCGTATCGTATCGTGAGGTACCCTTAGGTTCCCACCCCTACTGTATACAGTATATATGTTTTTTTTTTTGACTCAATAATGTAATAATAAGTATTTTGGTAAGTTTTTGTGCAAATCAAAGTGTTCCTTCCCTTTGTTTCTCTCTCTGCTTAAAGTGCATCTAACATGTGGTCAAAGGGCTGTTTCCATTGCTGTTCATGTGTTTTCCTCCAGCCTCAGTCCAGAGTCATGTGGATGAGCAGATACAGTCGTCGTGTGGTGGTCGCCCTTCGCAAGAGCTTCTCTGGCCCTGCGCAGTGTGTGAGGGGAGGGCCGCCTCAGCTGTCCCTGTCCCCCCTGTTGTCCCTATCCCCCTTGCAGAGGCGGGGTCAGAACACCCTCAGCTCGGCGACCCTGTCCCTCCTTTCATCCTTGTCCCCCTTGTCCTCCCCCCTGCAGAGGAGGGGTCAGCACACCCTGGACTCCGCCTCCCTGTCAGAGCCAGGCTGCAGTGCACGCTATGTCGGGGCCCTACACGCAGAGCGCCTCCTGCAGGTAAAGAATGATTGAGATTCACATTCAGACTGTTTCATTTATCCCTACCAGTGTCTCTCTGTCTCTCTCTCTGTCTCATACAAGTGTCCTCTCTGCAGGTGGAGTGGGAGGATGGAGGACACAGTCTGTTTCCTTTCACTTGGCTTCGGGACAACTGTCCGTGTCCCACGTGTACGCTGCAGTCGGCTCAGGCCCGGAAGCTGCTGATGGGAGACCTGGACGTAAACATTGGCCTCGACTCTGTGCAACTGCAGTCAGACAGCAAGGTAAATCCAAGAGAGGGTTTGAGAGAAAACAAGTGAAGCAAACAGCTGTGAAAAGAAGCAAGAGTAAAATGTAGTATGTACCATTGGCCCCTCCCACCACCAACCATTCACACACCAGACCCCTTCTAATGTGGGTAAAGTGTCTTGCCTAAGAACACAACAACAGTTTGGCACTTTACAGCTGCAGCGCCGCTTACCAGGCCTTGCCCTGCTTAGCTTCAGAGGTCTGACAGGATCTGGCTTTTGCTTGAAAGTTAAGAAGAATTAAGATGAAGAGATCCTTTATTCGTCCCACAGTGGGGACCAGAGGTTCCGCTAGACTTTTTTTTTGGCGGTCACTTTGGCCGACAAGGTCTGAAAATATCGGCCATTTGGGTAAGCAACCGGACATAATTTAATTAGCCTGTATAAGGCTATTGTATGGCCAGATTATACAACATGAAACATGCGGTGCCTGTCTGCTCTGTATATTATACCTTGCTATTTTGAGGCAACCCTTGTTTTAAAGTGCCGCCAGAACACAAGCATGCAAATGCCGATAGATAAGAGAGCTGCGGCGCAATAAGACCAAATCCGAAAATTAGTGTTTCCTAAAGTGCTGGACTGGGATGAAAGATTCTTAATGCTTACAATATTCTCCCATTGGTGTTTAGTTTGCTCTTTGTGAATGGTTGTGCGCAAGAATGGCACGTTGCCATTGAGCACACGTTGCGCGTGATAGGTGCATGTGCACAACCAGTTGCTCACTTTACAGCCACGTAAATGCTTCTCTGCTGCAGAAAAGCAGATACATGTCATCTAAAGCTCGTAGCGCTGCCCTGCATGCCACAAATACGATAATGAGGGGCACACATTGCGTCCTTTTACGCAAATGAAAACTGTAGACGGCCCATGTTGTAGCCTTAACAAATCCGCACAAGGTCTTATGAACTGAGCGTATCAGTAAAAAGTTTCCAAAGGCTAATGAAAGCACACGCAACTCGTCAGTACAATGCAGACAAAAACACAGTAACGTGTCGAGCGGCTTTTTGTCGAAGCTCTCGCCTGGGGACACTTATCTGCACGCGGTTGAGCTCGTAGCTGCCTTACCCTGATAGCGCTGGACATTATAAGACACACTGATCATTCCACGGGGCAAAATAAAAAATATATTTGTCTGTTTTCTTTTTCCAAGTGTTTCCTATCTGTAGTGAGCGTGATATGGCAAACGATAGCAAATTGTATAACCTTAAAACCTACGGTGTAATTGATTATATAGCAGGAAGAGATGGGCTGAACAATACAGGAAAGCAAGTAATTAACTTGAGGTCAATTGAAAAGGAACACCAACAAATAAATCAAACAGCAATATGTTAATGTTTATTTATAGATGCAGCAGCCTATTTGATTCGGAGAGTAGCCAAACACGTTCTGTAATATTAAAATAAGCATAGTCCACTCTTAACTCATTCCATAAACCAGTGGCATCATGTAACCAACATGAAAAGACATACAGTTCATAGGCTATATCACAGATATTAGACTGTAGGCTGCTACAGGCCACTCAAATTGAACAAGTGAACGAGAAAATAGAATTAATACAATAGGCTTATAACTTATCTCAAAGCAAAAATAACTGGCCTATGAATTTTTAAGGTTTTTAAAGATGTGCTTCATGTCCTCCCACTCTTATTTGACACATAGGCTAAAGCCTAAGCCACATTATTTGCGGCGCACTTTAATCGCATTAAAATGTTTAGCTGCTTCTTTAAAGTCAAATGTATCCAGCCCCTTGCCACAGCTGGCAATCCGCATGATCCGAGTAACTTTTTCCTCTGACAGGCGACTTCTCAGAGACGTTTTGATTCGGTTTTGGAGTGAAAACCCCCGTTCTGCTGGTACACTGGACACGGGTATGGTCAGGGCTATTTGTCCAAGTTTTGCCCAGTCGGGAAACATTTCTTTTAAGTCATTTATTACCACTTTGCATCCGGTATGAAACGACAACCCCCCATAGCCGCGTAATGCCATCATTAGAGGGAGAGCATCTTTTTCTGCGTCTTGGGCACATATGAGCGGTTGCACCTGCCCAGCAGGAGTCATTTTTGGTGCGCCGTAGTGCTTTGTTATTGGCATTACTGCACTCTCAGCGTACTGCTGCAGATTAGCTGCAAAAAAACAAAACAACGTTAGCCTCACAGATGGTGCCATAATAATTAATAATTTAATAATTAATAATAATAATTTTCAATATTGATCGGCTAGTTTTACCATCTTTTTCTGGATATCTGCTTGGATTGAAGACCATGTCGAAGCAGTTCAGGAGGCTTAGATCATCAGTCGGGAAACGCCTTTTCAGCGACTCGATGAGGTGTTCGATGTATTGCTGTCGGGAGCTGTCAAAAGCCCGCACATTTTTCTCCGAAGCCTGTGTAATTTTAACACATTTAAACTCGCTTTTTGTTACATCGAAGTCTCTTTTTAAGTTGCGTTCTTCTGGGCCTGCGTTGTCTTTGAGCTGATCCAAAGCGGACACGGAGGCCTTTACCATGGGAGCGATGCTTGCCAAGTTTACGTCTTCCTTTTGGAAACACAGATTTAATTTGTTCATCACCGGGAGGATGTCTGAGAGGGCATAGGTAAGTGCAATAAATCCATACGTCTGTATTTGATTGAGAATGCCACGGGCTTGAGGGTTGCCTTTTGCAGCCTCTTCGTGTAGCTCCATCACGAGCGCTGGCCAGTTGTGTCTGATGGCCTCAACCGCTTTCCCCAGTGACAGCCATCTCACTGCACACTGCTGTTTCAGGCTGGTCATATCTCCTTCATCGAGAGTGGCAGAGAGTTGTCGCAAACGATTTGTTCTGGTTGCAGAGTGTTTATAAAAGGTATACACGCTGTTGATGGTGCGCTTATAGTCCGCAATCGTCTTCACCGCTTTGGACGCGTCGGTGGCAGCCAGTGCCACTCTGTGTGCAATGCAGTGGACTTGGAGACTGTACGGGCTTTCTTTTTTCAAAAGTGCCCCGACTCCAGAGTGCGTTCCCATCATTACGCTGGCTCCATCCGACCCCAGGCTTGTGACGCGGCCCATAACTATGCCTCTTTCTTTCAGTGCAGCCTTCACTTCATCAAAAATACACAGAGCTGTTCCTGAATGGATATTGTAATTCCCTAGGAAGCACGTTTCCACTTTCCCATTGTTTTCGAGTTTTATATACATTATGAGTTTTTTATTGACTGTGATGTTTACCGTTTCATCTATTATCAAGCCAACAAAGTCACTTTTCTTTATTTTTTCGTTTACTTCATTAATTATAGTTTTTTCTAAACCCTTTTCCATGTCATTTACAGACTCGTCGTGTTTGTATAAAATGTTACTTTTAAAGTCAGGAGCATCAACACTTTGCATCAATTCCAACAGTCCACAAAACTGATGACAGGGTATATCGTTTTTAGCCATGTAAAAAACAACCTTCATCTGTGAAGTCAAGGCGTTTCTGCTTGATTGGAGCACTTTATCACAATGCTGTTTCATAGCGCTTTGTTGTTGCGATAAATGCACAGCGGACAGGTGCTCTGAGCTTTGGCTGTGCTCTAACAGTGTAGAGGCTTTATAGTTAATTGATCCTTTGGTGAAACCGTTATATTTACCGGACTTCTCACAAATGATGCAAAACATTTTGTCAGTCCCATCCATTAGCTCTCGCCTTAACCATTTGAACCGATCCTGCCACTCGGGCTTGTAGCATCTTCGAGCTTTTTTTGCTCCTCCGACATCATTTTCATTTGCACCAGATGCATGGCGCTTTTCGGGAGGTCCTGATTCTTCCGTTGGTGTATAGTCACTTGTAGATTGAGTAGTAGATGTTTTCTTGAAGAAATGAGCGAGAGAGGATTGCTTCGACATTGTTAGCGTAGGTTTCAAATCTCGCGCCGCGAACCAGAGGGCGTTAACGACGTCATGGGGTGCGCTAATCCTAGGCATTCACGACCACCTTTTAAACCACAAGCCTTTAAAACGACCACATTTATTGATTTGTTGTCTGATTTAAGTGATTTATTTATTGCATAGTGATAATAATGATAATTATAATTTTTATTGTAACTTAATTTTTTTTTTTTTCAATCAACCGACGTGGCCGACGGCACTTTTTTTTCTCGGCCAAAGACATATTTTACCGGCCAAAAGCCGGCTACAGCCGGCTAACGGGAACCCTGGTGGGGACATGTCAGTGTTGCATCAACAGTTACAGAACAGTAGGAATGAGGAGCACACAGCACAAGATAAATGAAAAATAACTCTATACTAAAATAAAATAAAATCTTTAACTTTAGCATAATAAAGAAGCAAGAATAATACATCTCTAGCTTTTGCATAGTAAAAAAGCAAGTATAAACCGGTATATTCTTATAATAATAATAATAATGCATTGGTTTTATATAGTGCTTTTCTGGACACTCAAAGACGCTTCACATGTGTCATTATTCTTTCACTCCATACACGGTGGTGATAAACTACTACTGTAGCCACAGCTGCCCTGGGGCACATTGACAGAAGTGAGGCAACCAGTATGTGCCATCGGCCCCTCCGACCACCACCAACCATTCATACATACACCAGACTCATTCTGGGCAATGGGGGTAAAGTGTCTTGCCTAAGGACACAACGGCAGTTTGGCACTTTACAGCCGCAGCCGCAGCCGCCCCACTGTGGCACCTGGTGTTCCCAGAGGTTAAGTGTCTTGCCAAGGACACAACAACAGCAGACAGTGGGAGTCGAACCCACGACCCTCTGGCTCAAAGGCCAATGCTCTACCATGTGAGCAGTGTCATGTGAGCAGTGTTAGTGTGTTCGTTTTGTTTTGTTTTCAACTTTATACAAAACTGTAGTCTAAACATGTGAAAAGGGAACCTACCTGCTCGGACACAGAGCTGATGGAGATACCAGAGCACTGATGCATGCTGGGAAGGCTGACTCCCTGGTACAGACTGTGCCCAGACTCAACATTCATTCATAAACATTATGTAGGTTTTACTATCACCCAAGGTCACTGTTTAAATGTCCCATAAACTTCATAGGCTTTCCTAACATACTCCTGCACCATTTAGAGTCGTTTTTACAGATTTGACAGTTTTTACAGTTTTTACAGTCCACAGGACGGTAGTAACTGCACCTCACTCTGCTTCCATTTCAATGTTAGGAGCGAATGGTTCAGTTTACCCTTGAGAAAAAATCTATTCAAATAGCACTATATAGTAGTACACAGCACACATGATACGTGCGTGAAAGACATGTTTCAAAATAAGATTGCTTTTTTTATTATTTATCTCACAGAGGAGAAATTTACATGTCACATTTGGCATGGATAGAGACACTCAGATTGTGCAAAGGGAGGAAATGTGCAAACATGTTACATGCAGGATATATGTACAATAAAGTGACAATAATTATGTACAAGTGTCAATTGGAAACAGTGTCAATAGTAGTGCAGGTTTTCACACAGTGATCATTTAAAGTGACTTCCAGGACCATTGTCTGTCCCAAGATGTGACCCTCTGATCAAACCAGTTTGTAACATTACGTGTAAAGTATCTCAGGAACAGGAAGCAGAAACACCAAATATGGCGTTATAATCAGTTGCGGCCTGTATGAGGACAACAGGGATTTTCTTTTAAAATGTGGTGCACCTGATCACGTGACCATCTGCAGCCCTGACGGTGACCGTGATGTGGCCTCTCCTCAGGTGTCGCTGGTGTGGCAGGACCAGCACCGCAGCATGTTCCACTGTGATTGGCTGAAGAAGCGCTGCTTCTCTGCTGCAGCGAGACGATCCGTCCAGGAGGAGCTGTTCCTCAACGGTCAGTGTCCTCCCAGAACACACATACGCGCACACACAGGACCACACACACAACTACGGCCACCTAGCGACTGTCTTTACCCCTTTTTTAATTTTTTGATACTTTGGTGGCGCAGTGGTTAGCACTTGTGCAAGCTCACGTACCTTTGGTGGAATTCACAACAACTGATGTCACAAAGAGTCAAATAATGTTCAAGACATTTATGGAGATTCAAACACAGGAAACTAATATTTGGGTGAATTCTGACCCAAATAGACGCACAGGGCTAATGCAAGCTGCTGCTTTTGTGATACAGACACTGGGCTGTTTCTATCGACTCAACTCGACTCTCCGCGGTGTTTCCATCGACTCGCTTTAGCCGCTGTGTTTTTTTAATAATGGCTTGGCCCTGGTTCTAACCGGGCCCAGTCGATACATAAACAATCTGACGTTGGGTGAACATTTTGGGATTGGTCAGAGGTGCTGTCAATCACTCTTCAGCTGCGTCAGCTGTTGCGAAAAACATAACAACCAACAAGTTTTCTCAAGTCTCCTGCTGAAAACTATAATGACGTTCGTACGGAAATCAATTCCTCGGTCGCCGGATGAGGTCAACACCTTCCTCAGTTTGGTCGAAGAGGACAAACTCCAGCGTGTGCTCAATGGCTCCCCCTCAAAAGAAGAAGGTTTTTGTGGCGTTTTCTTTTATTGGGCATCAGAGCAGAGAAAAAGAAGAAGCTTAAAAGTGACTACTGTGGAATATAATAACACAAAAGTCATAGACAGCTAACACCGGGAGCGATGCCTCGACTCTGTCTTGTCCCAGCTCCAGATGTTGAGTTTGAGAAGAATGCTGAGTGTTTGTCTTCAGTTAAAAGTATCTGGTCATATACGCCGAATGTATGTCGAAAGTCGAAACGCTCAAAACGTCAAGTCGAGTAGAGCGTAGCGCCGATAGAAACAGAGCTATTGACTTGTATTGTGATCCAATCATAGCATTTCCACAGAATTCACATACCGTTCTTGTTGAAATTCCTCGTTGACGTCTCATATTCCTGTTCCCCAAGCGCTCCTGGGAAAACTGTGCTTCAACCGGTTCTTTCCACACATTTGTCACAATCGCATCACTGCTGTTAAAGTGCAGCGCCGTGATTTTCCACTACATTAACAATAATCCCGTCTACTTTATGGTGTGCCAGGCAGGGGAAGGTTGGACTGGAACAAGGTATGGCTCTGAGAGGGGGAGGGGGGGGTAGAGGTCCTGCAGGAGCCTTGGGTCTGCACGGCTCGGCTCACATTAGCAGCTGTGCTCAGACCAAGGCAGCAGATGGAAAGTATGGAATAAGATATGGAGAAACACTTCCCTTTGCTTTGTTTGTTTTAGTCTTGTTACGAAAAACACATACTTTCATTGAGGGACAAATAAAGTTCTATCTTGTCATATTTTAAAGAAGACAAATTGAGCGAAATGCTGTTTCTATAGGGTCTCCATAAATGCACAGTGTAGATTCAGATTATTTGCCATTTGCAGTAAAACCACATTGGAATAACTGCAAGACGACCCATGATGTACAGTGTATAAACGTTGAGTCTTTTTCTCCTGATGAGTATACTCTTTTCTAGTCGATAAAGCATTGGGCACTGTCTGTGACTCTCTGTCATGTGAGGAAAAGGTAAAGGTACACTTTATTGATCCCTGTAGGGCAATTCATCCTCTGCATTTGAACTATCCTGATGCCACTAAGGCTGGCAGAGGAGAAGTGGTCGCCGTAGCACAGCGCCCGGGAACCCATCTCCAGATGTTGATGCTTGGCTTGGTCAGGATTAGCAGAGCTGGAGGATTCAATCACTAATGTTTTAGTGGTAGTGGGAACCGGAGCACCCGGAGGAAACCTACGCAAGCACGGGGAGAACATGCAAACTCCATTCAGAAAGACCCCATTCCGACCAGTATTTGAACCCAGGACCATCTTGCTGAGAGGCAAGAGTGCTATCCACTCAACCACCGTGTCGATCCACCGAGATGTAACAAATGGAACTCCATTATTAATGACATTAATAGACACAATCAGCACACACCCTAACCGTCTATAAGCTGCTACTTTTTTATAAATGATGTGTTAACTAAGTACCACCTCCTCAAACATGTATCTGACAGAGGAGATCCAGCACTCTCCCTGAGCATCCATCATGTCAGCAAAGCGAACTGGAGTTTGTCTGCACCAGGTTTTACGAGCCTTCCTCTGCCGTTAAATCCTCCATCAGAGAAAATTGGGGAGCATTAGGAATATTACAACCTTCCCAGGGAAAAGAATACACATATTTGTATTTGGTGATATAAGGTACCAGGCTATGACTGTAAGAACTTAAATTAGTGTTTCTAAATTGTGGCCTATATCACTAAAACACTAGTCAGGGTCGTTAAGAAAGCTTGTATGTGAGAGACCAGAGAGAGACAAATGAGAGAGAGACCAGAGATAGAGACCAGAGATAGAGACCAGAGAGAGAGACACCTGAGATAGAGACCTGAGAGAGACACCAGAGAGACACCAGAGAGAGACACCAGAGAGAGACACCAGAGAGAGACACCAGAGAGAGACACCAGAGAGACACCAGAGAGAGAGACCAGAGAGAGAGACCAGAGAGAGACACCAGAGAGAGACCAGAGAGAGACACCAGAGAGAGACACCAGAGAGAGACACCAGAGAGAGACACCAGAGAGAGACACCAGAGAGACACCAGAGAGAGACACCAGAGAGAGACACCAGAGAGAGACACCAGAGAGAGAGACCAGAGAGGGACTGGAAAGAGAGACCAGAGGGACACCGCAAAGAAAGAGACCCACGAGAGATCAGATAGAGAGACCAGAGGGACCGGGGACTGGTCCTAAAGTGAATTTATTTGTTGATTGTGTTGCAAAATTCAATAATGAAACCACCCCGCTCCCATCTCTGTGTGGAGTGAGAGGAAAAATGCCCAAAAAAATAACAATTGTAAACCGCTTTGTGACCCTGGCCTGTGAAAGGCGGTATATAAATAAAGATTACTTACTTACTTACACATGGTTGTTGGATACCAGGACTGAGATGCTTTAGACACAGTATTATTTGAATGAAGTGCTTGTGGCTTTGAAAAGTGCTGAAGTCAGTATAATTGTGAGCGCTGCTTTCACCGTATGGAAAAGTGGTTTGGAGCAGGTCAGCTGCATGTCTTACACTGCTCCTCTGTGATGTCACCGTTTCCTGCTCGCCGTGGGCCTCTGGACCTGCTGCATGTTTTTACATACTAAAGGCTTTCGGCCATCGGCTTCACTCATCTGGTCCAGTACATTTCTTGAAGCAATAATACAGCAGCGAAAATATCAGTGTGAAAGGATTTTGAGTGATTCTGGTTCAGTGGTTTATTATTCATGTGTGGTCATGATCAAGTGTTCTCTGACTCATTAGCCTCATCAGTGATAATAACTATGATTTCTCTGACAGAGCAGAAATTCAAAATGTTGTTCAGTTTAGTAAAGAAAACAACCTCCAGCTGAATTCATCCAGAACATGTGAACTTTGATTTTAGTCGTAACAGTTTCTGGGTGTAACTGTCTAATGGCCTGAAATGGGACAAGAAGATAGCCCTTAATATTCAAAGCTGTAATGGGCATTATCTTTTTAATATGATCTATATAAAACAGTTCCCAAAGGTTTTGCCATGACTTGGCTAGGCTAGTAACAGCAAGGGCTAGCTAACTAACTAGAACCCTCTGAAACTACATGAAAACTTTACAAAGAATTGTGAACATCAGCAGTGAGTGACCCAAATATAAACTCAACCTAAATCCATAATCAGATCCTCTGAAAATTACTTCTGGGTTTACTGCGATCGTTTTTTGTCGCATTAACACATTATTTTTGTCACAAAAATGTTAACAGATCATTCTGAAAACCTCCGTGCACATGTGTTGTGTCTCAAGCTGCCACAAAAATGAGCTTTAGATTCAATAATGACATAGTTTGTGACTCCACCACATGGGGCAACAATAAAAGCCCTCCATATTTAAGAACTGACTTTTTATTGGCCACTCCAGGCTTAAGTACTGTCCCTAAAGAGGCAAGTGAGACACTCTCCTGCATCTTGTGGTACTTTCAGCTTCTGCAGTAAGAAAACAAGAAAAACAAGGAAAAAATCCTGAAACTCACTGAGTGGGTTTTGCCCGTTCTCTTTGGTTCTTTCTGTTTTCCTCCTGGTTTCCTCTGCTGCCAGAAACACAGCGAGAGAGCGCAGTGTCGCAGCAGCTCAGGAACAAGTCATATTATTGTTCTTCAATGTTTAAAGACAAACACAGATTCAGATTATTTGCCATTTGCAGTAAAACCCCATTGCAATACATGACCAAAGGTCCCCAGAGTGCATCAGACACAAGTGCACAAATAAAACAAGCTAAAAAGTACAGGAAACAATCAACAAAAACAGTTTCAACACAAGTGCAAGATCATCAAAGTGCTTTGTTCCAACTGTTTGCATGATTATTAAATGCACCAGCGTCACAGACAAAGTGCCGTGAACGAGAAAAGTTACACCTACCGAACTCAAAACACTCATGAACCATGTGGGCAAATTAGTGTGTACATTTATACCTACACACACACACACAAGCTTACGCACACACACTGGGACCAACACCGATGTGTATAAAAATGACCATATCGGCGGCTGATTGTGCGTCACTACAGCTGTGCAAATGACAAAAATATGTTGTCGCCTTTAGGGATACAATATTTAAATTGAATGCATGAACCAAGATGATTTCTTTCAGTAATTAAAGCTTTTTTTCTTCCTCCCAAATCTGATCCATTTGACATACAGTAACTACCACCAATGAAATGAAATCACTGTGAACAAAACTCATTCAGTCCTTCACACACTACTTTATATTTCCAGAACAAATGTGAGATTTGCCAATTGCTGACGCTCAAATTACCATTTCCATTATATTTGTGATGAATCTCTCAGCCCCACGTCCAGGCGCAGCGCTCGCCAAGGCAAACTTTTCTCATAATGTTTATTCCTCCAACACTGAGCCCGTAATCCTCTTTCCTCGTCCTGGATGTTTCGGCTGCTGCTTTGGAAAGCTTTGGTGATTTGTGATTGTTCGTTTTCCTGGCAACATGTGCGAGGCCTGTGAATCGTGCTCCATGGAGAGAGAGTAGACAGAGTGAAAAAGAGATGGTAGGAGGGAGAGAGAGAGAGCAGAGAGAGAGTGAGTGAGTGAGAGAGTAAGGGAGAGAGAACGAGAATGAGAGAGAGAGAGCTGAACAGTGTGTGTTCTGTGCTGTGGGCTGTGCTCCTTCTTCACCTAAGCGACACAATGAGACCTGTGTGTGTGTCTTAGTGTGTGTGTGGGGGGTGTGTGTGTACTGAAGGCAGGCCTCCAGCTTAAGTCCAGATCCATCTGTTTATTTTATTATTTACCATTTGCAGTAAAACCACATTGGAATACATGAGCAAAAGTCCAATCGATCAATCAACAAAAACAGGTATCTCTCGCACTCGCACACACACACACACACACACTCTCGCTTCTCAGCTAGATGGGTTTGAATTCCGATCGGACCAGGGCTTTTCTGAGTGGAGTTTGCATGTTCTCCCCGTGTCTGTGTAGGTTTCCTCCGGGTACTCCGGTTTCCTCTACCACTAAAAACATGCACAATAGGTCTGGCATGTGCCTCCTGTACTGGCCCCGCTCCCATCTCTGTGTGGAGTGAGAGACAAATGCCCAAAAATAACAATTGCAAACCGCTTTGTGACTCTGGTCTGTGAAAGGCGGTATATAAATAATCAACGGCTTTAGTATTCGGAGAAGCTTCTGAGGAAAACTGAAGTTATCCGTCGAAACATGTCAAGGTAATAACACCAAAAAGCCTTACATTGTGTAGTTTAGAAGAACCCAATACTTTTAATCAAAGGACCAATTGTAGACGTGACTCAATAATGAGGAACGACATCTCACATTGTAAGTTCTGCCACAGTGCATTCATTTGATTTGTCCTCCTCACAAAAAGCACATGTTTCTTTGTTCCATTCTCTCCACACGGTGATGATGGAAGCAAGACGGTGAACACACTGGTGCATCAAAGCCCCCGACCAAACACCATTCTCTCACTCATTACATTCACACCTATTGTACATGCTTTAGTGGTAGGGGAAACCGGAGCAGGCATGGGGAGAACATGCAAACCTGAGGGTGGAATCGAACACAAGACCTTCTTGCTGAGAAACACAAGCTCTAACCGCTGTGCCACCGTGCCGCCCAGAGCTGTGGAGGAGCAGGGAAGGACAGAGCTTTCGTTGGAAGGAAACTGCCTCTGCATTTGTCCTACACTGTCATCTTTGACTCCGGCGGCTGAAGTGGAGGAACAGGTGAGAGGGTCCTGTCAGAGAGAGGTGGTGTTCCCAGAGGCGGTGGCGGCGGTACTCTATCTCCAACAAAGTGTCTGTTCTTTGGCAGCGAACATCTCTCAGACACAAGAGCTCCACTGCGGCCCCTTTACCACAAGTGGAAAGTATGTGAGGGGGTGTAGATGGAGAGAGGGAGGGGAGAGAGGCACTTCCGAGCAGGGGCACCTCCACATAACCACTGTCTGTGTTTTGTATTCTGAGTTTAAAAAGGTTATTATTAGAGCTTTCTTTCAGAGCCTGCCTTATCCCATTCACGTTCGTACCCACATACAGGGCCTTGCAAAAGTATTCATACAGCTTGAACTTTTGCACATTGTGTCACGTTTACGTCATAAAGATGAAGATTTTTGTTCACACACAAGGAGCAGACACCTGTGAAGTGAAAGTAAAAGGACACATGATACTGAAAAATAGAAAACCGAAAAATAGTTGTGGGTTCGATCCCCCTACTATGCCCTACAATCGGATCCCCGCTGTGCGACATGTATCAACCCTGCAACGCTCCCGTCACAACATCACGACGCAGATGTCTGGGCGGGTAGATGTTGTCAGTCTGTGGGCCTCGTGCTGCGACAGAGAAAGAGAGTCGTCCTGTTTCCCCCCCTGAACACTGATCTGAGGATGGGGAGGATGGAGGCGAATGGGGGAGGACAGGGGGAGGAGGGGGGGGGGGGGGGGGGGGGGGGACGGGGGGAGACAGGGAGCCCACAGTGCAGCCTCACCGTGATGTCGTTAGCAGCTGCCGGTGGTGCGTTGTGTGCAGAGCAAGCGGGAGTTTTTCCCTTTTTCCAGCGCTCTGTCAGGAGTCGCAGAGCTTTCGCCGCAAGCTATTAATCTTCAGTGTGCAGCGTCACAGGCCGAGAGTTTAGAGTTTAGAAGGAGAGGCTTAATGGAAAATCTATATGTGGGAAAATATACATGCAGCACAATAAATGTTATTCACTTAAACTCTCACTGACTTCAAATAAAACAGAGTCCTAGTACGGATGTCCTAATTGCAAATACATGTATTTATTTAAATGTAAGAAGTTCATTATGTCTGTTTATGTCTAAGAAGGTTCTTAGTAAGTGAAACATTTTAAAAAATCTAGAATTACCACATCTGTCCACGCCCCTTCAAACGGGTGCCAGACATGGGGAGTCAGCTTTTCAGATTCATGCAACTAATATCTCGAACAATCTTCCTGGAAATGTGAGACAGGCTTCTTCTCTGACAATGTTCATATCCAGGTTAAAAATGGTTCTGTTTAGCTGTTCATATTTTATCTTCACTCTTTGACTCATTGTCTTGATGCACAAATGCGTCAACGCAAATAGTAAGGTTGTGTGTCATTGACGCATTAATGTGTCAAATGCGTTTCATGTTCCCAGATGTCTATTCTATCAAATATGTATGGGGATCAGCTCTAGAGCATATTTTATCGAGCCAGCAGGGGGCACCAACACTGCCTCTGTATGTTTTGAAAACAGGATGCAGTTGTTGCGTCTCTTTTTCTCAGGTTTTTGTCTGAGACGGGCGATTTCAGTAAAACTTCCCTTTATTTGACTGGGGATTACTTGAAAAAAAAATCTTTTAGCTGATGAGACAGTCCATTTTTTTCAGAAATGGGCTGGCAGGCAATGAGTTAATGTACTGTGATTATTTATGATGGTAATGCCTTGTGTGATTGTTTCTATCTTGTTTTGTTCAGCACTTGCCGTGTGTATGAACTGTGCTATACAAATACATTTGCCTTGTGTTGCAGAGCGTGTGCACTGGGGCTCCTCTCTGTGCATTCCCACTGCTGACTTTGAGGAGGTGCTGGAGGACGACCGTGCCGCTCTGGCTTGGCTTCTGGCTCTGAGGCGCATCGGCGTGGTCCTCCTGCAGGGGGCGCCACCTGAGCCTGGACAAGTGGCTCAACTGGCGCAGCGTGTGGGATATCTGCGACTCACCTTCTACGGGTAAGACAGGACCAAGATCACTTAATTCATTCTTATTTAGCCTTGAATCACAACACTTCAGTTTATCAATGTTTTTATTTATTTTATTATTTTTCATCAGTGCATTTCTTGTGTTTGAACTGTTTGATTCTCTGATCTGTGTTGGCAAATTCAACAGTTTTGTCGTCTGATATAACTACTGTTGTGTTTTAGGGCGATACAAGAATACATATAATTTAATTTAATTACTATGTTTCAGACCTTTTTGACATTTCAAAAAAAAAAAAATCAGGCACTGGGAGAAAAGGTCAAAATAAAGTCTGAAAAAGGAACAGGCAGAAGCTAAAGCTACGCTTTATTATACATTAAACCATATTAGCTGCTACGCACAAATAAATAAAGACATTTACTCCATAATTATCATTATTTTTAGCATTCACAATCAGTAGTTTTCTCAGAGGCTTTTACAAAGTTGTTGATTTCCCAACACAGATCAGAGAATCAAATAATGATGATGCATCGGGCTGGTGCTATAAGTCCTGGGTGCAGCTCTGACTGCCACCCCCCCAACCCAGAAATGGATTATGTGGAAGCAAATGGATGGATGTATGGATGGATGTATGGATGGATGTATGGATGTATGTATGGATGGTCTGCCATCGGCCCCTCCCACCAGCACCAACCATTCACACACACCGCCCAACTGTGGCACCTGGTGTTCTAACCAGGCCCTGTCCGTCTTGTCGTTTTCTCAGACACACGTTCAAAGTGCAGGACAAGCCTCAGGCGAACAACGTGGCCTACACTGCAGACAAGTGCAGCTTCCACACGGACTACCCAGCTCTGGACTACCCTCCTGGAGTGAGCACACAATACATACGCACACACACATGTGTGTCTCAGATCTAATCTGTACCTGTGTGTCTCAGATCCAGTTCCTGCACTGCATCAGCCAGGCGGCACGCGGCGGCGAGAACCTGCTCGTGGACGGTTTCCACATCGCTGAGCGGCTGCGAGTGGAGGATCCTGAGGCGTTCCACAGTCTCTGCTCCCTCTCTGTGGACTTCACCGACATCGGAACGGACTACTGCGACTTCAGGCTGCAGGCCAAGCACCGCGTCATTGAGTGAGGGCTTTAGACGTGCCTTAGATCTGCCTTAGATCTGCTTTAGATCTGCCTTAGATCTGCTTTAGATCTGCTTTAGATCTGCTTTAGATCTGCTTTAGACCTGCTTTAGACCTGCTTTAGATCTGCTTTAGACCTGCTTTAGACCTGCTTCAGTCCTGCTCGGACGGCACAGTGGCTGAGTGGATAGCACTCTCGCTTCTCAGCAAGAAGGTCCTGGGTTAGAATCCCGGTTGGAACAGGGCCTTTCTGAGTGGAGTTTTTATGTTCTCCACGTGTCTGTAGGTTTCCTCGGGGTGCTCTGGTTTCCCCTACCACTAAAATCATGCACAATAGGTCTGGCATGCGCCTGCGACCTGCTCTCTGTGTGAAGTGAGAGACAACTGCCCACATTGGAAAGTCCTTTGTGACTGGTTTGTGAAAGGCACTATATAAATAAACGTTACTTATAAGTCCTGGTTCTGCTTTAGTCCTGCTTTAGACCTGTTTTTGTCTTGCTTAAGATCTGCTTGAGGCCTGCTTCAGTCTTGTTTTAGACCTGCTTTAGACCTGATTTAGACCTGCTGGAGGCCTGCTTCAGTCCTGCTTCAGTCCTGGAGGCTTTCACACAGGTGTTGCTGCTGCAGTGCTGCCCTCTGCTGGAGCATCGCTGTTTAAACAATGAAAGTGCAGATTTTGTTATACATGAACTAAATATGAATGAAAAGTGTACATTCCTTCAGATCAGACTGTCAGATTTACAAAAACATATGTTTGTATTTTAAGGATATAGTTTCCCAAATAATAAAAAAAATGTTTTGACAAAAATGGTTTTGATCAAATTAATGATATAGGAAAATTCACACAATACGTTCTAATGAGGCTGCTACAATCCTCAGCCTCAAAAGTGAAAACGAAAGTAGTGTCTGATGGCTCTCCCCTCGCTCCCCTGCCTTTAGTGTAAACGCAGAGGGCCGTGTGACTCGCCTGAACCTGAACAATGCGACCCGGGACTCGGTGCTGGACCTGCCGCTGCAGAAGGTCCAGAGCTTCTACAGATCTCTGAAGGTTCTGGAGGCAATGATGAACTCAGAGGACAACATTGTCACGCACAGGATGGAACCAGGTCAGTTTTATATGGAGCTCTTCAGGACGCTCAAAGACGCTTCACATTATTCATTCACTCCATACACAGTGGTGACAAACTACTACTGTAGCCACAGCTGCCCTGGGGAGAGAGAAAGTGACCAGGATCCAGGCGCTCATACACTGTTGTTGCATATAGGACATTACAGTGTGAAATAACTCATGTCTGTCTCTGACACAGGGGACATTCTGACCTTTGACAACTGGCGCCTGCTGCACGCTCGCACCGCCTTTGTGAGCTTCCTGGAGCGACCACGGCACCTGGAGGGATGCTACCTGAACTGGGACGAGGTCATGTCCCGCCTCCGGATCCTGCGCCACAAGCTCCAGGGAGAGGAGGCTTAAAGAAAGAGCAGCTACACAAACATGGCGCCATCTCAGGGTTCTCATCGGCCAAAACACTGCAGTCAAGCCAACAGCCACGCACACTCGGAACATTGAGACGCCAGAGGGAAACTTCTGGAGATCCAAGTATCTTCGTCCCGTCAGACTGTTGCTACAATCAGCGATGGGTTGTTCTTTTAGTTCTATATTCTAACGCTTTCAGTTCAGATCTGGGGCCTCGTTTATAAACATTGTTATTGGGTTTTTTACAACAAGTGCATGAACAAATAAGAAAAAAACCTTCCTCAATTATTGTTTTTCCAGCGCAGATCACAGGAGTTTAAACAGAAATCAAAAATCACTAATGTATCGTGGAAAATATATTTATTTGAAGTAAAAACAATACAGAACATTACCCTTCACAATGGATGTTTTTGTGAATGGACTTGAGGATCAGGGCACATAAAGATACAGCAGTTATGTTGAACCAGGTTGTACATTCGAAGTTGACTCGTTGACAAAGCAGTTATTTTTGTAATAATATATTTATTTTTTTAAGCCTTAAATCCCACTATGCTGAAACTGGTGCTCTGTGTACTGGGTGCCGCTCTGACTGCCACCCCCCAACCCAGAAATGGATTAAGGGGAAGAAAATGGATGGATGGACTTTGCTGAAACTTTGCCAAAACCAAACGACTAAATGAGCTCTGGTCTCTAAACGTCATAGTCTCCTTTTTCTGCTTCAGATTAGATGTATTACATGTAAAAAGTTTCAAAAAAGCATTGGCAAGTCTTCCTTGGAATGAGAAGATAAAGCAACGGTTCCTGAAATAAGACTAAAAAGCTTTGTCCAATTGGCAAATCTTGTTTTAAGTTAATGTACTCATATTAAGATAAAAAACACTCGATTCAAGCAATTATTACCTCATATTTCATCATTTTTTGCAGTGTTTATGGCAACGTGATGGAAGCTAGCTTAGCATAGCAACACTGTTTACTGTTAGCCGTTAGCATTAGCCTTTTTGCTGTGTTTCAGTTCGAATCACCAGCTGTGTTTAAAAGTGAGTGAAGGTTAAAGACCTAATGAATTACTTTTAATAAAAGAAGTGAAAAACCTTATTGGAATTTTTTTTATTGAATGATCTTTGAAATGTGAGGAGCTCTAACTGTATCTGCCAGAGCATTCGCTAGTTACCGTAGCAACTGACTGATTACTGTAGAACTTCTTAAAAATGAGTAAAGGTTTAAAAAAAAAAAAAAAAAAAAAAAACCTCAACCTCCAAAGCAGTCAATTCGTTGACTTTTTGTTTTGGAAATGTAATTACTGCTTATAATCTTCATGACTTTGACTTTTCTGTTTGTACATGTAGTTTATAAGTGTGTTATGTTTATGAATGGATCTTTGTCCTGCCCTGGTCTAGACTGGTTCAGAGCTATACTTTTTTAGAATCGAGTTCATTGGAATGGAAGTCGTCAAAAAGACTGCTCTGGGAGGTCTGGTTGTATCAGAATACTGGGCGTCCTGGTGTTAAATGCAGAGCGGTTTCATGAAGCATTAATCTGCTGAACGACAGACTTCTTAAACCAATGGATACCGCACACTGAGACGCAGCCTTTGTCCAAGGAGAAATACAAAACTGCATTTATAGAATTGTATGAATATTGTTATAAATGTTTTGTCAAACATTAATCCGGAGGTTTTTTCCTAAAACGCTCGATTTTGACATTTTCATTTCAAAAGGCAATAACTGAAGGCTCTGAACCTGAATTCAGTTGGAGTTAAATGATTAAGTTGGGCTGTAAAACATGTTATTTACGTTTTGTTTTCAAGTAAAGAATACATGTTATTTTTAAATGTAAATACTCTTTGTTTCAAACATCAAAGAACAGGAATATTTTATACTCCAATGAGATTTATTGGGTCTTTTTTTCCTACCTCAGTCCGTCAGGAATTGGTTCACCATTGTGAAAGTTAGTAAATGAGAAAATCTCCAGAATACAGTTTGGCCAAGGCTTTAAGTAACCGTTTCTGGAGCATTACAAAATGACCATAGAAAACATTGAAGTGTCGTCATTTTCATCCCATTTCTGGGTCGGGGGGTTAGGGGGCAATAGGGGCTGCCCCACAGTCCTCAAAGCACCAGCCCCTCATTCATCCTCAGGTTGTGGGTCCACGGGAAGATCATTTGGCCTTTCAACGGGGGCTTCAAGCAAATTAAATAGAGCAATACTTGTATAGTAATTGCATGCACAAAATAGTGCGATACTTTACAGAATCGGTTTCTTTCCCTCCAGACTAAGGACAGAATGTATTTTGTGAATTGAATAAAGGACAGAGAGCCCAGGTTTGATTCGGGCCAACTTTATTCTGTTCCTACAGCTGTACATGTTCTATAAATATCAGTCAGACATGGAATACTTACAGCATGTATCACTTCCAGCAGTTGGCCCACACACAGACACTTCCACTAACGCACGCCTCAACAGCTGCGTCATCCTTATTTCTCATTAGTGGATTATTCTGCACAGTTAAATAACTAAAATACAAGCAGGTCAAAAAATAAAACTTCCAGTGTTACAGCAGTAGTAGCCATATTGCTGAATGTACAGTGACATGTCCACAGGGGGTCACAGCACGACGCAAGACCCCGAAACTTACACTCGCCACCACACAAAATGGCCGCTCACTAGAGAATGGTGCCGACGTTGGTGATGGAGTCAGTGACGATGTGGTCGATGACGATTCAGGACGTCTGGACTCGTGCCTGGACGTTTCTGATGACCACTTTAATAGTTTATTTGCAAAAACAGTAAGTGCCATTAGAACAAAATGTGGAATGTTTAAGGAATGTTTTTCTTTTGGAAAGTCTGATGTACTTTTACATAAGGTTTCACCCGTTCTTGAGCAAATTCTTTTAAATGTACTGCCAAAGATTGTAGCGAACACAACTTTTGGACAAATTTTCCAAAGGGAGAGATGTGTTTTTGCAAATGAACTCGTCACTTCTCGTTGGCGAATCGATCGGCACAGACTTCCACATGTGAAGGTCTGGGAGAGTTCGCTCGGATTGGTCCATGTTTAGAGGAATGTAGAGACTGAAGAGTGAAGCTGCACCAGACTCTGGGACAAACTCATTCAGTGACAACATCATATTCACTCATGTATTTACAAAGATCTGGAACATTCTTCACCCTGTTAGAGCCAGACTCTGGCATGGCTAACTACCTAGGTATTGCACATCTAGCAAATAAACAATGACCACAGACAAATGTACAGTTATAATATTCTTAAGTTAATTTAAATAAATACTATATATATATAAATATATAATATTTATTTGTATTTGTCATAGTTACATGCAACAGAACAGCAGAGCACAGTGTAACAGGAATGAGCCGCTTTAGAAGAGACGCACAACAAACACACAACTGGAGGAGGTCCACTGGGCTTAGGGACATGGACTGTACAGGGGGGAGAGGGGAGAGAGGAGACAGAGGGGGGAGAGAGAGGAGAGAGAGGAAGAGGGGACACACAACACACACACACACACAACTGGAGGTCCACTGGGCTCAGGGAAATGGACTGTACGGGGAAAGGGAAGAAAGAGAGGGAGAGAGGGGGGAGAGGGGGGAGAGGGGGGCGCTGCACATAGACAAGAGCCTCTCCTTTTACAGCAGGCAACATATAGGTCCCAGCAGGTCTCTCTCTGATAGCTCTCTGAAAGTCCTTTTACTTTATTCATTTCATATGTTTTTTGCAGTATTGCAGCTGTGCAGACGTAGTGTTTTTTCATATTTAAAAGCTTTCCATTTGGACGTGTGACATCACAGACCTGGCACACTGTGATCAGAGAGAGTGAAGTATGTACAGCGTCACGGATCTGGGACATGTGCTTTTACAGATTGTCGGAGTCTTGGTTCCAGCTCTGACACAAGACACAGAAGACGGCTGGAGGAGGGGGGGCGGCTGGAGGAGGGGGGTTGGAGCACTAGCTGGGCAAGGGCCGCGGGGACATCAGTTTGGGCCTGCCCTCCGCCTCCTTCCCCTTGACGGCCGCCACATAGGAGAACAAGCAGAGGACAGAGTAGCAGATCTGATGAGCCTGTGTGGACGACAGCGCTGTTAGTAAACACCAAACTCCGCAAGTTTTTACTTTCACTTTTAAACACGGGGACCAAAACATTGGGGAGAGGTGACGCTATCTGCTTGAAAAAGGAATGAGTGATTTTTTAACAAAGACTTTTGTTAAAAGTCAGACGTTCCTCAAAACTTGTTCTAAAGCGGTTCTTGACCTCAGAGGGACACGATCGTTTCTAAAAAGATGTTCTCTGAGATGACTTCTGTTGTGATTTAGGGCCATACAAGAATATATTGTATTGTATCGTTAAAAGATGTTTTTAGAGGCCCCTAAAATGATTTTCAATTAATATTATCAACTTACAGCATGTGTGGTAATGGGCTTCCATGGCATGTTATACATCATCAAATCGCTCAGTGAGCTGCTCCGGCAACGAGCCAAAGAAAGATGAGAAGGAAAGAGATGGTTCGCCCTCAGATGTGTAGACAGTTTTACTTCTCCATGACAAAAGCTCTGATCGTGGATTTATTTGAATGAACGAGTGAAATAGAAATTGTGTGTATGCATTTCTGTGTGTGTGTGCGTGCGTGCGTGTGTGTGTCTAAGTGCACGTGTGCCTCGGAGCTCGTGGACATAGTTGCTGCTAAATGTTAAAGGATATTGTAGTATGTAGACTGTGACTTTGTTGCCAACTATTCTTTTGATCTGTATTTGAAAAGGTTTAATGGTTGTGTTGTCAAAGACGACAGAGGGTTAGGGAACATTGTCTTAAAGAAACTAAACTCTAGTTCTTCCCTCGTGGTCTTAGTGAAATGTTGAAGAGAGTAAATGTAGCGCGCTGTTCTTCGAAAAAGAGCCTTTGACCTTTTCATTACAAACTTCTATCACTAACCATTCGCTTTATTGTTCAAAAAAACAGCATCATTTCATTTGACCGACTTCCGTCACATGAACTCTCTCCTCCACATGTTTTAGTCGCCACATTAAAGTGAAATATATAAAAACAAAAACAGCCTGTTAGAGAAGCCTTTGCTCTCAGTGAAGTGAGAAATACATTTTACAAAGGTGCAGTTATGTCTTTAATGAGAAACTATAGAGTCCTCCTCATCTCCTCCACGCCCTCTCCTCTGAGGGCTGCCAGGGCACGGAAGGGGACCAGGTTTGCATCATTAAAGATTGGGTTTCGCTCTGATGATGGAGGCATAACACTTTTCTGTCATGTTATATAATAAACTCTTTAATACGTTAGTTTTTATGTCAGTTTAACATTAAATATTAAAGGGTCCCTTTTTTCTAAAGACACAAACACATCCAGATTGTGATAATATTAGCATTAGTCTTACAGAGTGCTGTTCTTTACAAATATTATGCAAACATAACAATGAGAACCTTTGTCTCGCTGTGATTAAGGCTCAAAGTTGGACACTAGGAGCGGGAAGTGACAAAAATGTGAGGATTTGATAGTATTGCGGTATTCAGGCCACAATTCAATATTATTGGGATTATTAATATATTGCGGTACAGCAAGTATTGTGATAATGTCCCTCAAATTATTCAAAGACATTACTCAACTCTTCTGTGACATTTATTATGGTCTGCACATGAACTGAAGCAAAAAACGTTATGCCTGAACATTCAGGAATTGTGTGCGCAAAATATCGCGACAGTGAACAGAATCGATTTCCCCAAACACTACGGCGTCTGAACGTGTGGTCGCCCCCTGAACGTCTGCTGCGGTCGCCGCGTCTGTACTCACCATGGGCGTCTTGTACTTGTGGATCACCACTTCTTTAGTTTCAGGAACTATTTGGTGCAAGAGACAGAACAGAGAATTCAAAGGCAGCAGAAACACGGGTGATCACAGGGTCAGCACAAGTGGGACGTGCAAGCACACACACACAGCCACCCGCACACACACTCACGCACACACAAACACATACACCCACACATGGGCACAAAAACAGACACACACACAGACACACCAACCATTCATTTATTTGCAGATTTTGCCGTCAGCCCAATCACGTCCCACAGACCACTGTAGCATTCAGTTTGTCCGACTCAGACAACAATTGTTCCAACGACAGCTACGTCCTTTGAGCGACCACTGCTCGCACCCTCAGTGACTTTTCATTAGTAACCGTGAACCCAAAGCCCAGATGAGCAGCAGGGAGAGAGAGAGGCCCCCCACGGAGCTCGGCATCTGGGCTTTATTCCGGACGGAGAGATGAGTGAGAGAGAGAGGAGAGAGGGCGGAGGGTGGAGGATGAGGAGGAGGTGAGTGTGCACGGACAGAGGGAGCAGAGGAAGAAAGGTGGACACACTTTACCTGCTGGAGAATGAAGGTTTTCATAGTGGCAAAGATGAGGGCAACATTACAAAAAGCAGCACAGAGACGCAGCAGTAACCCAGCCCAAAACTACCATTCTGTCACTGACTATCAACTGGTCTGGGCTATTTCCTAAAACTCTAAAAGGTTAAATAACTAACGACACGGAGCAAAATCTAGAACTAACTACCCACCAGCACATGGTCGCTGTATTGTGCCATGTTTATACTGTAGAAAATAAAGTTTAAAAACCCACAAGTTGTTCACATAGGACTTTTTTTGTTGCTTCCCGTCTGCTTCTCCCACCTTCAATACAGGACTTCTGCTTGAAAGATAAAGGCTGTGACATCCCAACACTAGTTTCTTGGCTGTAATACAATAAAAAGTGTCCTGATTAGTGTGAAAGTGCATTATGCATTATGAGTCATTTTCTGCCATCTAGTGGACGAAGAGGGACATTACAGTCTGTTTTATCCAAATGAGGATTAGTATTACTGAAGCGAGTTTGTTGTGATGAGCAGAACACAGAAGGGGCAGGGGACATGTAAGTGAGTCATGTTTATTTATATAGCACATTTCACAAACCAAGGTCAGCCAAAGCACTTTACAATGTCTTTGGAGCTAAGATATTTATGTTCCTGTAGATGGAACAAAAACATGTGCTTAAAAAAGATGTGATAATATTTTCCCCAATGTTTTGTTTTTATTTGTGTAATATTTAGATAAAAAACATTGAACTATTCAATAAATGTAAATGTAGAAATGTAAATGCATAATAGTGATATTTATATAGTAGTAATGACTTTATGCTTTTACCTATTTTACTCTTACAAATTCACTGCACTTTGAGCCAAAACAAATTTCTAGTTTGTGGCGCCATGTAACTTACAAAGCCAATTTAAAAAAAAAGTATTTATACTATACGTCCTTTAAAGCAGTTTTCAAGTCTCGAAAGTTTAGAATCTCGACACAAGTTTGTGCGGTGCAAAAAGTGATGAAAAATTTAAAAAAATTTATCTTGATCTGAGCACATTCTGACTGCGGGAAAACAGACCATGGGAGATTTACACAATTTAAAAGGTTATCGTATTTTTTTTTTCTTTTTGCATAATGTGTTTTTAATGAGATCCTGAGCCTCCTTAGAGTCTAAGATAAATTATAACATTATGTGTTTGTTGAATGTGATGCAGACTGTTGTTCCACTGAAGAGTCCTAAAGGAAACGCTTTGAGGCTGTTTTTCTCAACTTTGTGATTTCAGGTGACCTAACTTTAAATTGACCACGATCCCTTCAAACTTGATAATGTTTCTAATTGTTTTACATTTTTGTTAAGCTCAGAATTCACACTTTTAGTATCAGGACCGATCTCTTTTCCCCCTGCCAGTTACACATGTACCATTAGCAGCTCACTGTGCGCTCCTGTCTCTGCTCCCCTTCTCTCCACACTGATCACACTGCACAAGAGGAAGCCCTCCCCCCTCTCCCCCCTCTCTCCCCTCACCCCTCTCCCCCACCTGCAGCTGAGTTACTGCTGTGCCGAGTACAAGCCTAGAATCAATAGATGGTTGTAATTACCAAATTCCTCCAGGACAAAGACTCCCTTCACTGTATTGCACTTTTTAATGTGACTCAGCTCTATGAAAACCTAAAAACAAACAAAAAACAAACAAAAACAGGACACAACATTATTAACTCAACAACAGCGATGAAAGAAAACAGTTTATCTCAACATAAGAAACCTGTGATAACTGTTGATCTGAGTTTGGAAAGGGAAATAAAAAGCACTCGACGTGAAATGCAAGCTCTAAGCAGCTACGAGGAGAGAAGGCGTCCATGGGCAACACATGGGCGGAGCCACATGAGATGGTCTCGCAGCTACATGGGACTGAGGGGAACAGCATGTGTCCTTTAGGTCTCACAGTGCAACCATGGCCCATATGATGCAGACATGGAGTTCAGACACAAGGAAGAATAGATTTGCATACAGCAATAATCAATTAAACCATAATAATATCAAATGATAAGTGGAAAGTCAAAATAAAAAACAGAAATGAAGAAAAGTAACCAAACAAAGAGAAAGCATAAAAAGAGCAGAGATGTGAGAGCTAAGATGCAGACACAGCAGAGGTGGGTACCTTCCGCTCCTTGCAGGGGGAGACAGCATGGGAGAGAAATGGTTTGGATTATTATCGGACACAAGAGCAAAAAACAAGACGCTCCAAGAGAGAGACGCAACCTGGGCCTCAGACCACAACTGAGCTCAACTATCACCACCGACACCGGAGAGACAGGGCCCTGTGCTGCTTTCAAGGACATTTGGGGCCAGAGAGAGAGAGAGAGCAGGGAGGTTAAAGATACTGCCCTCAATGATGATGCATGGATCAGTCTTCTAGCTACACATGCCAGATTATCTAATGTGAAAAAGAAATCAAAAATTGCTCAAAGTTGGTAAAATGTGTCTAAGTTTGAGCAGATTCTGACTGCCTTAAAACAAGATTTGCCAATGGGACGAAGCAAAATGATCAACAAGAAATGTCTCCCTTGGAATGAGAAAATAAAGCAACTAAATGGCTTTGTCCCATTGAAGAACCTTGTTTTTACACAGTCAGAATGTGCTCAGATTAGGATAAAAAATTCTTGATTCAAGCAATTTTCTCATATTATTTTTTGCAGCGTATATGTGTCAGTGTTGCATCCCCAGTTACAGAACAGTAGGAATGAGGAGCACACATAAGTGTATAACTCAAGTGAATCAATAATCAATGAAGGCTTGTATTTTGTTCTTCCATGTGAAGTTATACATTTATTATGTTCTCATACTTAGTTTAGTTCATCAGGAGTCTGTCCATGCTGTACTTTGGTGACAGAAGGCTCTTTTTTCGAAATAATCTAATCTAATCTAATCTCATTGATCAGATGTTCGAGCTCATATCTCAACATTATCACAACAAAAACACCAGGATCGCAGAGAGCGCTAGAATGTGAGTATGATACAAACGCTTACTGAGCTAGGAAAACTTTATCCATGAGCACTTCATTGAACTAACGGGTAACCATTGTCAATCCATGCACAGTCTATGAGACTTGCACAGTCTATGAATGAGTCTTGCACTTGTTTTGAGCTAGACTTTTTGTTAGTCTTTGCTCAGAAAGGTGTAAAATGTTACTATAAATACATCTAAACTCTGAGTGTAGCTTCATACACTCCTCTGACTCTGATTCCTGATGTAACTTTAGCTTCTGAAGTTTAGGTAGAGGATTAAGATTAAGAGATCCTTCATTGGTCCCATAGTGGGGAAATTTCAGTGTTGCATCACCGGTTACAGAAAAGTAGAATGAGGAACACACAGCACAAGGTAAGTGAAGAATAACTCTATACTAAAATCTCTAAGGCATCTATGATGTCTTTAAGTCTCTTTTATTCTTTGGCCATCAGCTGACGGCCATGGGACTTTACACCACATGCAGTGAAGCTGTTTCTATGACCCCACAGTTGTTGAAAGCAGCATGTGCCCCGTCCTGAGCTAGAGCCTCCTCCCCTCTTCAACAACCAGCATCAGCCCCAGTCAAGCATCAGCCCCAGTCAAACCTCGGCATCAGCCATAGTCCGCCTCTGCTAGGTTAAAACTGACTACTAAACTAAAACTGAGCTAAAACTTGAACAGATTTGACCTCAGACAATGAGAAAAATACAATTGCTCTTTCTACAGTGTATGTAAATATCCAGTTTCTAAGTCAGATCTACACAGTTTCACACTAAAAACAACCAGATCTATTGAATTTCTCCAGACCCTGAAGGCGGACCATCTATAACCCAATGACTTTGAATTAATGGTTTAGGTCCTGAGATAAAACTGGTTTAAATCTGGTTAGAACTAGTCCAGTCCTAGTTTCATCCTGTTATAATACAGCTTTGTTCGTCAGCCAGAGCAAAGTGAGGCCTTTGTCCTTGAACACAATTGTATCATTATTGTAATATTATTCAAAATAACAGTTGTTACATAATCCTTATTAAATAGGTCTGGTCTTACCTCTGCGACTACCACTGTCTGTTTATCATTTATTTGATTAAAATATAAAAACAAACATGAAAACAAATGTACAAAAGGAAAAACAAAGAAAAACAATACAATAAAATAAAAAATCTCAAAAGGAGAAGGCAGAAGTTGAGATGACCCTCACACAACTGAGACTAGAAGAGCAAGAGACTTAGCTACAAGTGGAAAGTTACCTGGATAATATCACTAGCATGAATCTACTCTAATCATACCTTATCCCTAAAATAAATGCAATACAAGAACAACTCTCGGCCAAAGATAATCCTAAACAATAGGACGACATGATTCAAACAGTAGTGTACCTCTCTCATGGTTGCACATCACTTTCACAAGCTCTAGAAAAGCAAACTAAGAAACTAAGCAGATGTGAGGACAACGCATGGCCATGTTGACGGGTCCAAACTTGGGAGTTAAAAGTTGCTATGAGAAGCCAATTATTAATGAAAAGTCGGTGGCTCAAGGTCGGTCTTACCACTGCAGGCAGCACACACGCAGCTCCACGTCCTCACACAGAAGACACACGTCGGCGACACGCATGGACACACAACATGAGTGGGCGGGGCAGACATGCACGCGGACACACACCAACGCAAAAAGGACCAACTGAAGCTGAAGCCAAAAGGGGGAAATTTTCCTCTAAACTGCTGGTGGATGCGTTCCGGTTTAGAGGGATATTTCAGGGTGGATGAGATGGTTGGGTGGCAGGGGGAGTGCTCATGCCACGGTGAGGGGGGAGAGAGGGGGGAGGGGGCTTACCTGGCTGTGCATAAACTTGAGGTTGATTCCCTCCAGAGTGACCTGTAGGAGGCCGCCTTCCCCTGTCTTCATGTCCTGCACTGGGAACTCTCCCCCCAGCTCAGGGCCTACACACAGAGACGCATAGATACTGTATTGATCCCCCGAGTGGAAATGCAGCAGCAGAAACACATTCATCCATACAAACAGATTAATCATTCTAAAGTTACTAACAATAGTATAGTCTGTCTGTCTGTGAGAGTGGATCCCTCTCTCAATGTGGGCCTCCTTGAAGTTTCTCACTTTTCTCCCACTGTGTTTTTATAGTTGTTCCTCTGATGCAGGAGGCTCTAAGGGCAGTGATGATCCAGGACACTCCATATTCAATCACATTTATGGACATTGGTCTCTGCCCCTTATGGACCAATGGCTCTATGTGTTTTTTATTGTTTTACTGTTGGAATTTGGGCTATACAATTGAAATTGAATTGAAAATAGCCCTGATCACATAAAAACAAGTCTAGAGTATTTCCCTGCACTTCCTTGTGTCTGCTTTCTTGACTTAAAAACACAAAAAAGCAGAAATGTGAGCTACCTCATTTGCTTTTCCTGCGTTCAATTAGTGTGCAATTCCATCCATCCATCCATTTTCTACCCCTTAATCCATTTCTGGGTCGGGGGGGTGGCCTGAGATACCACCCAGTACACATAGCATCAGCCCCTCACTGATCCTCCTGCAGGTGGTGAGTCCACAGGAGCTGAGATCTTTCAGTGGGGGCTTCAGGCAAAGTGGGGTTAAGTGTCTTGCCCAAGGACACAACAACAGCAGTCATCAGTGAGAGTTGTAGAGAAGGTCCCGTGGTGGGCTCGAACCCACGACCCTCAGGCTCAAAGGCCAATGCTCTACCAACTGAGCTACTGTTAGTGTGCAATTACTGTGAGCAATTAGAATGTTTTGATACACACAGTGGTCCCTCGCTAAAACATTCTAAATCAACCTAAAAATAAGCAGGCTGTAAAATCCCTCACACACTTTAAACACTTTTCTACACACACCTGGCTTGATGCTCTGCTGTCTGGCGGCTGCTCTCTCCATACTGTCTTTAACGCAGTAGTAGAGCTCTCGACACTGGAAACACAGAGAAAACCAGCATTAGGAGTCTTTCAGTCCTCTTTAAACTGTAATGTAATGAATGAGTGAATGGTGTTTGGTCAGAGGCTTTGATGCCCCAGTGTGTTCGGCGTCTCGCTTCTTTCATTAAGCGTGTGAAAAGAATGGAACAACATCTGAACATTGCTTTGGGCGACCTTGGTCTGTAAAATAGCTATATAAATAAACATGACTTACTTACATCAGATGATAATGTTTAGCAGTAATACAGATATAACAGAGGTCCACAGTACAAAATATTTTTTTTTTATTTTTTTTTTTTTGGTAGTCTAGCCTGCTGGAGACCAAAAGCATGAGACAAGAAATCTCAAGTCCCTGATTAGTAGACACAATATTTCTAACTTTGCAATGTTCTTCAGATGGTAAAAAAGACTGTTGATGTATTGATTTTATTGGCAATTGTAAATTTAGGTCTGAGCTCCATATTACCCCCCAATTTCTGACCTTGTCAAAGGAAGTAGGAAGAGACTGAAGTTATTGACAAAATACCGCCCACTCTTTGTTTCTGGGGACCAAATACAATGATTTCGTTCTGTCAGCATTTACTGAAGGAAATTATTTTGCATCCAATCACTGATCTGTTGTGATACGTGAAAGAGCAAATCCAGTGGTTCCATGTTTCTCCTCAGTCAGTGAGACATAGATCTAGTGTCTCGGCGTAATTGTGTATGACACTTTGTTTCTTTGTATTAAACAGACCTAACGGCAGCATGTAGAAAATTAAATAGGAGAGGTCCCAGGATCGACCCCTGATACTCCACATCAGGGCCACATGATCCGATACCAGTCTCCAATCTCCACAAAGTACTCCCTATCCTCCAGGTAAGACCTAAACCATTCCTAGGCTGTGCCATGATACCAACCCATCCTCCAGTCTCTGCCATGAGGAATCTCATGGTCGACAGTGTCAACGCGGCACTAAGATCTAACATGGACCAAAACTGTGACTTACCTGCATCAGTGTAAGTCGAATGTCTTTTGTTTACCTTCCACTAGAGCGGTCTCAGGTGCTGATGTGAGGTCTACACCCAGACTGAAACATATCAAAAGAAATTATTCTCATTGTTAAAAATTCAGTAGTTGTTGGGAGGGCCCCAACTTTTTCAAGCATTTTCCAATGAATTGGCAATTCATATGGGGGCGATAATTTTGAAGTCCCGCAGATCCAGACTGCTTACTATTTTTAGGAGAGGTCTTAGACCTGCTGTTTTTAGGGCCATAGGAAATTTCCTCGACTACAGAGACATGTTTACTATTTGTGTCAGTGAAGGTACAAACTGCTCAGGCGACGACTTCAGAAATTTAGAGGGGCAATTTATCCAGGTACATTGGAAGGAGCTCAGACGCATGATATAAATATCTTTTGACAGGTTTTCCAGTATCCACAGGTGCAAAGTGAGTTAGCTCAAAAGCTTCCTCTGGCTTTTTTGCATTGTTATAACTGCTGTTGAGGTTGATAGGTGTTTTTTGATTCTTGTACTTAGTCATCGAAAACTGTTCAACTCATTACACCTATGATTTAGAGGAAAATTCTACAGGGCAATTTAAACAGGGGGTTCGTAATCTACCAACTGTTTGAAAACCATAAACAAACACGAAAATTGTTAACTTGCAACCTCCAATAATGTCAGAAAAATACATTTCTCTTGTTCTAACTTAGAACACGTTACATTCACCCAACTCAACTTTAAAGTTTCAAAATCCCCGGAAATTGACATTCGCCACTTCCGTGCGGCCCTCCGGCCACTGGCTTCTGTCCGCTGACCGAGTCTGACCTTAGTCCATGGGGCCTTTTTCCTACGGTGTAACTGTTTTAAAACCGGTCACCGGAGCAATGGCTCCAGAACAGTCAGAACACTGGAGTGACAGAAGTTAATACAATTCATCCACATAGACATGTAGTTTTCTCAAAATTTGCATTCCCAAGAACATTCACGTGTGTTTTTTCATGTATTGGTCTCTCGAACAATGTGTAAATTCAGGCTGGTGGTTTGCTAGCAAAACACAATGTCAAAAAATACACAGAAATGAACTGACAAGCAACATCACACTTAACGATTTGATACATTAACCCCCTTTGGTAAAAAGCAGGTCTCGAGTGGCCCCCGCTGTGGGTGGGGCCACATACCTGCTGAATGAAACCAAAGGTCGTTCAAATACAGAAGCCCACTCCTTTGCATTTCTGTCATCAACATATCAACATGTACATGAAAATCACCTGTAATATTTAAACTAACAAAATCGTGCACACTAATGAAAGTATTCAGTAAAATGGGACAATAAACGCAACAGACTGTGTGCCTGTACAGGACAATGAAAGAGTAGCAATTGCTTTGTTCCATTTTAGAAAGAAATATACACAAACGATGAAAAATTCCAAGGGGCATTCTTGGGAGACAAGTTCTCTCTAAAAACTGCAGCTATCGCTACCCCCCCCTGTTTGTTTTCATCGTATTTCGGATTCGAAATTCAAATTGGGTGGTGTTGCTTCTATTTAGAACTGCATTTCCTGTATTTTGGTCCAGCATTACTGTATATTGGTCACCATGTTTCACCATATTTTATTCTTATGGCGTGAAACATGGCTTGACCAAAAAACAGGAATTGCTGGACCCAAAATACAGGAAATGCAGTTCTAAATAAAACAACACACCCAATTTTAAATTCGAAAATCCGAAATACGAGAAAACAAAAGGGGGAGGCATAGCTGCAGTTTTTAGAGAGCACTTTGTCTCCCATAGAAGCCCCTTGAAATTTTTCATCGTTTGAGTATATTCTTTGTTAAAATGGAACCAAATTCCCCTCTCTACCATTTCATTGACCCTGTACAGCCACCCCAGTCATGTTGCGAATTTAATTGACCATTTTACTGAACTACTTCATTCGTGTGCACCAGATTTTGCATAGTTAAGTATTACAGGAGATTTTAATGTACATGTTTGATAGGTTGATGACAGAAATGCAAAGAGCTGGCTTCTGTATTTGATACCTTTGGTGTTCATTCAGCACGTAAGTGGCCCCACCCACAGCAGGGGCACACTCTTGAACTGCTAATTACAAAGGGGGATTAATGTATCAAATGTTATAGTAGTTGATGTTGCTTGTCCGATCATTTCTGTGTATTTTTTGACTATGTGTTTTTGCTAGCAAACCACCAGCTGAATTTTACAATTGTTCAAGAAGACACATCCATGAAACACAAGTTACCTGTATCATGGTAATTGCAAAATTTTGAGAAAACTCCGATGCTCTACTGTTGATGAATTGTAAAACTCTGTCACCACGATGTAATCTGACTGTTCTGACGCCATTGCTCCGGTGACGGTTTAAAACAGGTTACCATAGGAAAAAGCCCCATGGACTAAGGCAGACCGGTCATGGAACAGAACAAGAGTGGCCGGAGGGCCGAACGGAAGTGGCGAAGTCCAATTCCAGGGCGATTATGAAATCTTAAATATGAGTTGGGTGAATTTAACCGTGTTCACGTAGAACAAGAGAAATGTATTTGTTTTCTGACATTATTGGAGGGTCAGTAACAATTTTCGATTTATGTTTTTTCAACAGTTGGTAGATTAACGAATCCCCCCTGTAAAGTTTGGCCCTAGAATTTTCCTCTAAATCTAGGTGTAATGATTCGCACAGTTTTTCGATTGACAAAGTACAATGAATCAAAACCCCACCCCCCTTATCCCCCACCTCCACAGCACGTATAAACTAATTCAACAGCCAGCGAAGCATTTGACTACGCACTTGCACCTGTATCCTGAAACTGTCAAAAAGATAATCATGAGTCTGAGCTCCTCCACATGAAGCCCTGGATACTATTTCCCCTAAAATTTCTCTGAAGTCCGTCCTGACAGTTTGTTTACCTTCACTGACACACTAGTAAAACATGTCTCTGTCGTCAGAACATTTCCTATGGCCCTAAAAACAGCCGTCATAAGACCTCTCCTAAAAAAGAGTCCGTCTGGATCCTGCGGGACTCAAATTATCGCCCCATATCGAAATCTAGCCATTCATTGGCAAAATTCCTTGAAAAAGTGCCTCCCAACAACATACTGAAATTTTAACAATGCATATTTTCTTTTGATATGTTTCCAGTCTGGGTTTAGACCCTCACCACACACTGAGACCGCTCTAGTGAGGTAACAAACGACTTCGACTTCACAACTGATGGCGGTAAAGTCACAGTTTTTGGTCATGTTATGATCTTAGTGCGCGTTTCGACACTGTCGACCCATGAGATCCTCAACGCAGAGAACCGGAGGACTGGTTGTATCACTGGCACAGCACCTCTAGACTGTTTTAGGTCTTACCTGGAGGATAGGAAGATACTTTGTGGAGATTGGAGACTGCGTCTCGGATCATGTGTCCCTGCCCTGTGGAGTACCACAAGGGTCGACCAGGGACCTCTCATAATTTAATCTCTACAATGCTGGGGCCGTTCGGTCAGTAAATACAAGAAACAAAGGGTCCTACCACAATTACGCCGACGACACTCAATCTATGTCTCACTGACTGCAGGAGAACATGGACAACCTGGATTTGCTCCTTCGCAATGGATCCAACAATCAGTGACTGTGATGCAAATAATTTCTTCAGCAAATGCAGACAAGACCGAAATCATTGTCTATTTGGTCCCCAGAAACAAAGAGAGGGCGTACATTTGTCAACTTCAGGTCTCACACCCTACTTCCTTCAGACAATGGTCAGAAATTTGGGGTGTAATACTGGGACACAGACCTAAAATATCAATAGCCACATAAAATCAATAACATCACAGCTTTTTACCATCTGAAGAACATTGCCAAAGTTAGAAATATAGCGTCAAAAGGCAACTTGGAGATTCTTGTACCATAGCATTGTCTCCAGCACTAGACTCTGCCATGCCTGCTTACAGGTCTGTCCAAACAGACCTTAACAGC